TTCAGTCTGTGGAGATCGATTGTATTGGACCTGCATATATTATTATCTGCACGGCTAGACTGTAGACAAGACTGTAGCCATTCCATACCGCCATGAACGGTACCTTTACGGCCTATAATGCACAGTCGGACAGTGTGCCTGCCCTGAACGTTAACTGCCATGCTCTGCAGGGTGACCGACAGCCATGGCAACGACTTTACTAGTCCACATTAGCTTCAGCCTTTTAACATCCAAAACCGTTTATCACAATAATAAGTTATTTGATATTGACATCGTCTTGCAGCTTCGATAGAAGCCGATCCATGTGTGACAAGCAGTCAGATTAGCTGCCAGCTGGACGCTGGCGGCATTTCTAGCCATACAGGGTTGTTATGAAATCGTCTAGGTGCTCCACTTCCTGATTTGCGTCATGAATGTAAACTCGTTTAATAACTGGATGACTTTCCGTAGGCTGAAATATTCTGATTAGAATATCATATCATATATAAACCTATATTAGGCAGGTGTGCCGCGATGCCGCTGTTCATTTCCAGTCAGTTCGTAACCATGTGTCATCTACCCCCCCCAATAAACCTTAATTCTATTGGGGGGGGGGTACCCCCCCCCCAATAGACTTTAGCGACGACTTGCTTCCGTTTTGGGCCACTAACGCCAGCAATATCCGCTGACATAACCAGCCTTGCTCGAGATGCATGGCACGCAATGCGGCACCTTGCGCAGTAATATTGAGGTACCTCCCAACCCTTCGCCAAGTATGCTAATGTCTCTCTCTCCTGCCACTATCTAGGTGATACCAAGTGCCCACTACGACATGCTTGGTCCTCCGTGCCAGCGTTGATCTATCCGTGGATTTCCATGTGCAGAGACATCATGACGAGGAATTGGCGTTTCATACCAGGCTTGCGCAAATCCTGCAGTAAGTAGTGAAGAGAAAGTGGATACATCAACGCCCATTGTAGTGATGAATGCTCTATCATTTTGGCTAACGTATAGTACCTGCCATGGAGTGTTGATGCGAGGATTTGGAAGCAGTTGGGGTCGGCAGAGGTATAAACGATGTGGGTGCCGAGTGTCAACACGCTCTTGTCGTGACATCTCGGTCCCAGCAATGATAGCAGCAGCGAGGACCTGAAATCTTTCATCGTCGTCGAAAAGGTTAGCCTCGTTTTCGTCAAGAAGCAGCCGCTGGATTGTAAGGCGATTGTCCATCAAGGACTGGACTAAATTCAATTGAACGAGCGCACGGCAGATTATTCCAGTATAGATTATCATATCATCGGTATTCGTAATATTTTTGAGACTCCGGTATATTCTGTTCTGGATTATTTTGCCTACGGAAAGTCATCCACTTTGGCTTTGTTCGTGGCAGGAAACGTTACCTTGGCACTTTCAAAAACGATCAAGGTGATGGTTGGCATGCGACTCGTGCGAGCACTTCAAGTTGCAGGGTGATTGATCATCCGAGACTCCCTCTCCTGTAGGTCATGTACTGCTATGACTATTTTGGCTGCAGCCCTGGCCGATATCTACGATACTCACTAGCGAGCGTCTTGATGACGCCACTTGCATATTCGCTTTCGGGCCTGTAGCTTGACGTACGAGCAGTCTGTGCTTTACTCATTGTTACTCACTGCGGCAAGCCCGGACACCGGATGGCAACAGGCTTATCTCTGTGTCACATGGCCCGGCGATTAAGACCATCCCGGGTGTCATATAGAATGATCTCCCACTTCAGGTTGCAGGTCCTATGTAGCTGAGAAGTCGTCGACGAATGTATGTGACGAGCTTCTTGATATTTTAAGACGACACTCCACAAGGTCGAGCCATGCTCAAGGATCGCCCCCGAGTGCCGCTAGGCTTTGTCGATGGCATTATGTATCCCGTCTGCACCCACTTCTCGGCATTTTGGCACCTTTCGGCACCGGATCTCCTGTTGTGAAGTCGTCTGCGATTTTTGACCAACTCTTGTGGCTATCTCAAAGATAGGAATGTAGAGTGGGCTTTGCTCGCATACATAATCAATATCTGCTGTAGTCATCGAACATCGAACATTTTCTCCCCGACCGGTGAGGAGCAAGAGTCGATCGGATATGAGGTGTTATACACTTACCTGGCAATCAGTGCATAATACGACATCCTCCGGAATGTAAGGTATAAAGAGCGGAGATACAACCCTGGAGGTGTTTGCGTGGGTGATGATCCATTCACCCAATAACACAATTTGTGACGGGCCGATATCGTGACGATGTAGAAAAATCTGGAACACGATGATGGGCTCCGTGGTGCGCGCTGCTTGCCCAATCTTACACCTTTTTCATATATCGTGTATGTATGTCTTCTCCTTCTATGATCATATCCTTCTGAAATTATCGGATCTCTCCAGAACATCCGCCGCCCATGCAGAAGTTCGATGCGATTAAGCAAGAAGCCACACGTATATATAGCTATAGGAGGCGCATCACCGAGTTGCATAATCGCCGTCGATTACCCCACTTCCCCGTTGTTATAAGGACGGTCGTGTTATATACAGTTTGCTTACCCACTGCTCGAATCATGGCCCTTGCAGTTGATCGCCACCTTGCTATCCTCGCTGGCATTTCTCTTTCCTTTGTCGCCGTCAAGGCACTCAAGCGGTTCATCAAAAAGCGACAGAATAACGCTCCTCTTCCTCCTGGCCCAGTGTCCCTCCCACTGTTGGGGAGCGTCTTATCTATCGACGCTTATGAGCCTTGGCTGACTTACACTGAATGGGGTGCTGCGTATGGTACGTGGACAGATAATATAGAGCATACGTGGTGTGAATCATTACATCAGGGGACTTGCTGTTCGTGCGAAGTCTAGACGAGGAAATGGTCGTGGTCAATTCCCAGCCCATTGCAGAAGCCTTACTGGACAAACGTTCTCGGATTTACTCCGATCGACCATACCTAGCAACACTCGAGCCGTGAGTTCGTTCAGTATTCCTTTATTCAACCATTCTGAGGTTCTCGCAGATATGGCTTGTCGATCAACTTTGCATTTATAGCTTATGGCGATGAATGGCGTCTCTGCAGACGACTTTTCCACCAAACTTTCCGTCCCGACTCTGCAGCAAAATTTCGCCCGATGCAAATCCAGCGGGCTCGCGAGATTGTCGTCAACCTAGTCAATGACCCTCAAAATTATTACGACCACTTCGCAACGTCAGCGAATGATTTTTTACGAATTGAACGATTATTTACCTATTCACAGATTCTCGTTATCTGTTGTGATGTCAACAGTATACGACTACGATATCGGTGCTCGTGATGATCCTATGGTGCAGACTGTGATAAAGGCACTGGTTCCAGGCTTGACCGTGTTGACCCCAGAGAGAGCATTACTGCTTAAAACCTTTCCCTTCTGTGAGCTCAGCTCTCCTGGATGAGACAACATTAACGTGACACGCACTTTTGTGAAATGTAGTACTCAAGGTACCTGACTGGTGCTGGGGATCCTCGATCAAGCGTAGTGCTCGAGGTTCGAGGGAGCGCCTCAATGCAATGGCCGACATACCATTTCGATATGTGCAGCAGCACATGGTGGGTGTTCATCTTCCTCGTGATTCTAGACATTGACTCGGCTCTTGGGAAGGCCGACGGCTCGTTGGTCGCTCAGTCCTCAATGGTTGCAGAAAATTTGCGACGGATGGAGAGGCAAGAGGAAGCATTCAAGCCCGCATTCGAGAATGCGTTGAAGAAAGCAGGTACTACTGCTATTATAGGTAAGTCAGCCTTTTAATGAGCAACGTTGTACTCTCGACATACACTAATGTCACACAGCTTCATATGAGACGGTAAATGGTCAACTCCATCATGTTGACCGCTACTTATCGTCATCACAGAGTGCAGCAACTTTGATGGTTTTTTTCCTGGCCATGGTATTATATCCTGACGTTCAGAAACGCGCACAAGCGGAAATCGACTCAGTGGTTGGAAAAGAACGGCTGCCAACGTTCGAGGACAGAGCATCGCTACCCTACATCGATGCAGTCCTGCGAGAGACTTGGCGATGGCAGCCTGTTACACCTCTTGGTATTCTTTCCCGCCAAGTGATCTGGCCTGTGCTGAAGATGACCTCATAGGCGTACCACATGCTGCCTCAAGTGATGACGTATATAATGGGTATTTCATTCCAAAAGGTCCGTTGTTTTGTCCCGGAATCAACGCAACGATTATTTATAGTATCGTGCTTCAGGCGCAATCATCACATACAACACATGGTCTGATATGTTCCTCTCAGCTTTTGTGGTACTGACTTGATTCTAGGGCCATTACACGGGATGAAAAACGGTACCACGACGCATCTAATTTTATACCAGAGAGGTTCATCGACAGTAATGGCGTGTTGACAAATGACGACCCCGCACAATACATTTTCGGCCTTGGCCGGCGTATATGTCCAGGTTTGTTAACTTATTCTAACCCTATAAAAGATCCACCGACAGATAGACTTTGATCAGGGCGGTACAATGCTGATTTCTCCGCGTGGGCTGCCATTGCGACTATGTTAGCCACGTTGGATATTTCTTCTGCCAAAGATGACCAGGGCAAAGTGATCAGCTTTACTCCCGAGTTCATCCCAGGAGTGGTCCGGTACTTGACTTTCTTCGTGTTATTATACCCTCTCGTCACTGACCGTTTCGTTGCTTCAGGTTTCCTGCGACCTTCCCTTGCAGTATTTCGGTCCGGTCTCATATTCATTCAGACACTGTGGACAGTTGGCGAACTGCCGAGTTTTGACAGAAGGGATGGCAGTTTGCTATCCGTGGTCTAGTTGGGAGCAGCTAGAGGCAACGTAGTACTAATCGATCGAGTACTTCCTGCTAGTGTATACTAGGTCAGCAGATGCGACGAACGTGTCCAATTATTCGAGGGCTATGACAATTTGGTGACGGGGTTCTTGCCATTTACAATATCAAAGTTTAACTTAAGGATGAGATCATCGGAGCTGGGTGCCAGACACACAGCTCCTTCGTGCTGATGGGTGGTTTCATGCTTTATGTGGATGGGGAACCCTGCCTCACCCTACGCCCTGATTACATTCTTAAATTGATACATGAAAGGTGTGCATATATTGATGTCCCTACCCTAACAAAAAGCCAGATTCAAGACAAGAACAAAGGTAATGCGATATCGAAAGGATTCGTGATGTTTCAGGTGGCCTGGTCTGTTATGCAGCTCTAAGTGGGGACACTCGCTTTTGTGGTTCTCAATTTCCTGTGTGGTGAGTCAACATGCAATGTCCACATCCAGTGTACTGAAGTCGACCTAGTCAAGGCCAGAGAATTACATTGAGTATGTTCGCATGCACCTCAGCAATTATACCGTTGCTGATCCTGTCTGCCTTAGTGTCAGCGATACGAATTCACTCAGCTTCAGATCTTGCATCATGTCTTTCGCCAAGTTATAGAGCTGATAGGCTGGGCTGAGATTCCCACATCTCGAAAGCTCCGAGTTTCAACATTTGATGGCAGCATCGAACTCGAAATGAAGGTGCGGCAGCCGGCCTTCAGTACTCAGCTGTGGTGCAAGGGGAGGAGCAGTGAGGAACGTGAGATGGAGGGCGATGCCATCTGCGGCATGATGCAATTGTAAATTATAAATTATAGATAGAGCACCAACGACTTTAATGCATGAAGATGACCGTGTGCATCCGTTCCTAACAGCCTCAATTGAAGCCACTGTGGCACCTGTACCAGTCGATCCTGTCAAGCTCAGCGAAGCAAGCTTATTTTTTCGTGCTTTCCCACTATTCCCGCCCATCATGCTCTCGAAGCTTCGAAGAATTCTTGCTTTATGGACATGTTCTTCTTCTTCAGCTCCACCCCATCCACCCCCTTCCCCTTCATCCCCGGCACCAAATCCGCAATCGAGAACCCACTCTCTTACTTCAACAGCCCCATGTTTCACCACCCGTGACTGGTCTCCGGTGGCTGTAGATGTGAATCTCGAGGCAAAGCTGAAGTCGGAGCAGATGCTAAGGTGGGGCAGATGATAAGAACGAGCAGAGTATGTGGCGTTAAATGAGCTGTCGACGACACCGGAGATGACTTTGATAGTGGACCCTGCGATGGCGTCGAAACCTTGTTCTTCACGTCCGCGGAGGCTACCGGGTACGTCTACAGGTATGTCTGGTGGAAATGTAGTGCGAACCGTCGCGATTTGGGCGAGGTCCCTGGTGCTGTAGAAAATAAATGTTAGCGCGTCGAATGGCAATTGATGTTAGAACTTGGGAAAGGAACAGTGATTTAAAGTAGACAAACGAACGATATGAATGATCAAGAAGCTGAAACACCCACCTAACAATACCAACGCCTTCCTCGACACCCACAGCACCAAAATCCACATTCTCCAAAAACTCGCATGACAGCCCATCAAATTGATCAAACAGTACCACTCCTCTTCACCAGCGAACACAGCATTATGGTAACGCTGGGTGCGCGAGACCAGGCGTGCGAGGTCTGATTTAACAATGGCAAATATGAGAAGTGGGAGGAGGACATCGCCTGATACTGTCGTCGGCTGTTGGACATGGGAGATGGTCAATCGGGGCGAGGAAGTGGGATGAAGACAGAGGGGGATCATGTAGTCAATGATGATGCGAGGGGCTAGGCGAGAGAGAAAACTTCTCAGGTGACCCGTGAGCTGCGTCCTCATCGGATTGTGGATAACGCGTCGGGAGAAACAACGAGCGGGGAGAAGAGATGAAAGATTGATGTCGGGGAACTTTGTTGACAAGAGTGAGGAGCGAAACGTCGATTTTCCGCTGAATATACGTATTAGGTCAAACTGGTGATAAGTAACGAAACCATAGAGGAAACGAACCTAGATAAGTGTCCGTGCAAGACAGAGAGTGAAAACCACTTAAGTATTTTCTTTGGATAAAGGATCGCACATGAGTACATGATTTGACACAAACTCGGGCGTGAACTTCCCCTGTCCTAGATATTACTCAAGCGGGAGCAGCAGAGATGCCTACGAAACCGTTTTCCGTAAACTGAATTGTCACAATCGATGAAAACGGACCTCAACCAAAGTACCGGCACACCCATGGATAAACACTGCGAAGTGGCCTTGTTGTTTCTTGAGCCTGAAGAACCGGCTCAAGAGAGATAGCATGAATGTCACAGACATACTAGTTAAGAGTAGACCAGAAAACAAATGAGAACAAAACATCGAGCACTGGCGACGATAAAACTTACCTCTGAGTACACCCTAGCAACCTCCTTGCGAGTCCTCTTGTTGCGCACCTCACATTGCCATGAAGTTCGCCTGAAGACCCATGACTTCAACGAAACGGGCGCACTGATACTTGGTGCTTTGATGACGAGTTTGACGGTGAAGGAGGTTGAATCTAAGTCTATCCGTTTATCCGGAAAATGCCGGATGGCACCCAAATCGGTGTGTTATGTCGGAGATTTTTTACCGGCATCATAATGGTCACGCGTTACAATCAGGCTCAAAATGATTTTGACCTTCATTACGACCTCATTACGACGCCTTAAGCGGAGTTTGAATATCATGCTGATGCAATTCTGATTCGGATTACTGATATGACTTATGCCTAGGCGAGGCGACACATGCTGCATCAAACGGTTCTGACTCTGTACGCCTCTTTTCCAGTCTCATTTGTATTCTTTATTCTCAACCCTTGACCATCTTGTCACTTTGATTTATCATCTTATTCTCTCGCATACCATCGATAACAACACCTTTTGTTCACTCCCATCGTCTATCCGAAGTCTACAGTCAGTCCAAACGTCTTCCCTATCCAAAACTCGTCGTTCTTCTGCTCAACAATTCTTTCAAGCATCTCCAATTTGTTTAAACGAAACATATTATCTCCTCAATCATTGTCTGTATTCCTGACGGGCTTTGACACTTGGTCCTCGGTACGCACTCCGTTACTCGCAGCTTTACGCTCTCACTCTAATAATATATGATCACTATCAGCTTGCTCGTTGCTCATTTGCTACTTGACATCAATGCCTAAGTCAAAACAACGAGCATCAGACCTTGTGACGTGTGATCGATGTGGAGTGAATGTCCGTGCGCGTGGGTTAGGATCCCATTCGAGGTCTTGCGCGAAGAAGGAACGGGAACAGCAGGAAGATGAGGAGTTTGTTAGCATAGTTCAGAAAGCCGAAAAGAAAGGTGAGCACTCAAATCAGTTGTCTTTCAATGATGTGCTCGATAGATGGTTGATAATTTTTTTTACAGAACTTCGAAGGCAGCGTCGCAAAATTCGTAATAATTTACAACGTTTGGAGGATGCGCAATCATCTGCAGGTGAGCACTCATATTTTAACAATGTACTATGGTTTAGAATTTTCTTCTTGCAACACAGTGAATGCCACCGCGATATGGGCCGCAGACTCAGACGTTGGTACGTTTGATTCAATTTGATTAATGTTATGCTAAGACTAACAGTATCAGTTATGCAAGGGTCTTCACCTCGCCAATACCCTCCGGCGGACCCATTACCTGACTTCCACCAAACCGATCCTGGTCCCAACGAACTGGATCCTGGTCCCAACGAGCCCGATCTTGGTCCCAATGAACCATATCCTGGTCCCAACGAGTCCAATCCTGGTCTCAATCAGCCTGCGCACGAGCTTGACGATATCAAAGTCGAGCATCATCCTCACAGCCAAATTCCTTCTACCGTGCATCGCTTTTCTGAGTTCTCGTTATACCAAAGTAAGTGTTGTCTCATGTAGCTACTACTAGTACATTACCATAAGCTGATCATTAGTGCATAGTTTCAGAACGATACAGTATCTGTTCCCCTCGGAAATGAAGTGCGCGAATTCGACATGCACTACCGCCCACTCTGGGATTGGGTCCTTGACTTATTGCGAGACAAACGTCTTGCACCTCATTTCGTATTTGATGCTCAACGTCTCTCGAAATTCAACGGAGAAAGATTTGTACGTTTTATTTATGAACCATGGACTGCCAATGCGTTTTGGAAGGCACAAGTATGTTTCAATATTTGATCTATTGTTTGTTTCTTTAAATTAATAGTATGCTACAAACCTGTTGTAATTGTAGTCGCAGCTTCCGCCAGATGCAAAACCACTGGCATTCATCCTCTATGCGGACAAGAGTAAACTATCATCATTTGGGAGCCAAAAAGGCTATCCAATCATTGCGCGCATCGCTAACCTACCGGTTCATATTCGTAACAGTAATACTGCCCTAGGAGGTGGTCGTGTCGTCGGCTGGCTGCCCATTGTTGGTGTATTGACAAGCTTGTTCAGTTCATAGTAATGCTGACTGCCATTATATTAATTCAGATTGTTGAGGATCAAGAACATGCGAAAAAGAAGAACTATGTAGACTTTAAAAATGCTGTCTGGCATACATCCTTCTACCAGCTTCTTGTCTCGGTTGCGAAGCACTCAAATACAGGCTATTGGTTTGAATGCGGAGACGGAATCCGACGTCATCTCTGGCCCCTTATTTTGATCTTAAGTGCCGATTACGAAGAACAGTAAGTCATAGTACTACAAGTTTACTATTGTGAGCTGCTCATGTACAAATTATAGATGTGTCATGGCATTGATCCGTGGGCTTAAGGGAAAATTTCCGTGTCCAGTTTGTTTGGTTCCACAAGACGAGCAGTCCATTCTCCGTACCCATGAGCTGCGTACAAGCCACCAATCTGAAGACATACTCCGCACTGCAAGATCAAAGCTGTCTGAGAAGGAAAAAGAGGGTCATCTAAAGGCTTTCTCGCTTCGAAACGTTGAGGTATGCATTTCCCTCCCAACTTACCCTTCCTCTTACAATGAATGACTTGTATTTCAAAAAATTCACGACCTCGTATGAAAAACTTCACTTCCTTTCCATTTTACCATTTCTGCCGTGATATCTATTACTATTGACAAGTTCGCTGATGTAATTCAATTGTAAGAATGTCTTCTCGAGAATTCTTCATGTCGATGTTCATCGTGCACTTTCTTTCGACCGCCTGCATACAAACGAGGAAGGATTATGGGGTGACCATTTGTGGAAGGAAGTAAAGTTTTGGATTTTGGACCTCGGGCGTGAAGCGGCTGTCAAACTCGATAAAAAGTATGTATTGTGGCTATAATATATTGCCACTACTTCTGACTCAGTGTCTTAGCTTCGATGAACTTCCACGATGGCCTAATTTAACACATTTTTCATCTGTCATCGCAGTTGATTTCACTGATGGTTCTGTTCTCGGCGATCTGTCCAAGGTTTGTCTGCATCGTCATAAATGATTTTAGGTACTAACACAAACTTAGATGATTGTCTTTGCGGCGCAGGATATCCTTACTTCATCCCACTGTAAACTGGGACAGTTACTTCTTCGTTGCATTCACTACTACATCGAGTTTGATATTTATGTCTCATTAGAAGTACATACAGAGGATACAATTGCAGCTGGAAGGCTGGCACTGCAAAAGTTCTCAGAAATGATGGATGTAAGTTGTTCCGATGTTTTCAATGACAATTGTCTGACTTTTCATTAGGAATATATTGCACAATCACACCCCGAAACCAACAAAAATTGGAACTTTCCAAAGAAACACTTGGTCTCACATGCATTCGACGATATTCTAGCCAAAGGTGTGACACGTAACTACAGTACCAAGCCAAATGAAAAGATGCATGGCTCTTTACGAAAAATTTATCTTCAACGCACAAATTTCAAGAATGTTGCTTCTCAGGTTCGTTGCTTAACTATATTGTTATGCAGATTCAGACCAATAGTTTTTAATTGTTACAGATTCTACACTATGATGAATGGCTTCTAACTTCGACATCTATGCGCACTGAACTCGACGAACTCGACAAGTACAATCAACGAGACACCTGTGACCCCAAGACCAACGAAGCCCTGGATGACTCCAATGCTGGAACATCTGAATCTACTACTATTCACGCACATTTAGGTTCGAGGCAGGGCAATCACTCTTTTTCCGACATCATGCACTTGCATGGAACTGACAGGGCCTTCACCGACTTTCGGATGAAGCTAAACAGCTTCCTAAATGGTTTTCTGCCACAGAATAACATTCCGTTACCAGATGGAAGGCGCATTCACCTGCAAGCAGAGGATACAGTACGTTTACCTTACATTCAATTGATAATACTGATGCATTTCTATCAGATAACAGAGTTTAGGTTCTTGCGGATCAATTATGAATCACTAGTCGACTGGTGCATGCACCAAGACTTACTCCGATGCAGTCCAAATTTCTATGGATCACCAAGGTACGACTGCGTCATGGTGAACACTGCAAACACACCATTTTTCGCTCGCCTCGTATACATGTTCAGTTGTCTGGTTGGCAGCACTGAATTCCCTCTCGCACTTATTCATCCGTATGACGTCGGTATTGCCAATAGTCGTCGGAGGCGGGATAATGATATGGGATTGTGGCGCGTGCGAGCCAAACCTCGCTCATCTTCTGAAATCATTTCTGTTCGGTCAATCGTTCGGGGAGCTGCTCTCGCCAGAAATCCTGAAACAGATGGGGATTACTTTGTCATCCACACTGTGGACACTGACATGTTCCTTCGAGTCAAGGCACTCCAGGCTAGTGCTCAATCATTGTGAGGCAAGCCATTATCAGTATTATTGGTACGTTTTTGTCTCCTCATCTTTCGCTTGCAACAAACTTTTATTGATATGCTCCTTCGCAGATCAATAACATGTACTAGTGGTAGTATTACAGATATCTCCCATACCCTACCAGATGCACCTATTTGCACATTCCACGCAGTTCTGAACGACACCCAAAGACCTCGTCAGCCAAGATTCCCTGCAACTTTTCCGGCAATTGAAGAATTTACGATGTGATGTGAGGACGGCCTCTCAAGAACGACCTCACTGCTATTGTAATGCTCTATGATGGGCGCCTGAGCCTTATAATTGGCACTCTGATCGCATGCATCATGCACAGGATGTATCTCTGGTGAAGAACTGGTACTTGGAGCACTTCCTCCTAACCAGCCAGTCAAAGTTCGTATATCACATCAGAAGTTGTTCGAGTTGCTCAAGTGTTCCGTCCTCAATGAGCTCAAGAGTCAACCTGAGAATGCGATGACTAAAAGAATCTCTTCCGTCAGTTGAAGGTGACGAAGTTCTTCCAGACAACTCCCACCACCGCCCATCCTTGATCTTGTTGTTTTGCTTCATCGCACTATCATGCCCAGTAGCTTAGAAGGCCGATGTATCAGACTTGAAAGTGAGTTACTCCATATCACCTTCGCATCCGTTTGGTGATCATCACACTCTATTTACAGTTGTCAGTAGAAAAACACCTTAAATTTCCCTTGTAGCGCATTCCCACAGGCATCTACATATCCATCAATCTTGACTTGAGCAGGCACTGGAAATCAGCCATTGGAGTCTTACCATTTGATGAATCTATCTTACGTTCATCTTGTATTGTTGTATTGCCTCTAATTCATTGACTTAATGTTGGTTTTCAGACACAGTGTCAAGCGATGCTAGAACCGGCACCTTACCCTCGAAGTCGAAGATCTTGTACCTACTGGGACTGCAGTATTCCTCATATCAACACCATCTTCCAAAAGGATTGTTACACATTGTCAGCATATGGCTAGGTGGGCATCTCAGCGCCATGATGGAAAGTTCTGACAACTGAGCTACTGTGTTGAGGGTAGCGTTGCTATTGAACTGAGGTGACTTCGAGGTGAGTTCAATTCGGTTCAAAAATGAGGCTTGATTCGTTTACACCTCATTGTAATAAGCATCGAATTAGGAACGAACAATCCTCAAACGTGATTAGGTGACAGGTGTCTAGGCCATCGTATAAATTCGTGCATCGTAGATTCGTACTGTGAGTTTAGTATTATATTCACAAAACATGAGTTTTCACCAGTGGAACAGTTCTGCAGCTATCTTACGGGACTCCGAAAGCGGCTCAAACACATTAGCAGTGGAGCTTCTTGACGTCCAAAAACTAACATCTATGGGAAGTTGGGTAGCAGGGAGTTTACTAAATACCATTTCTGCATCAAGTATGTGTCTTCTTTCAATGCCATGTTGATATTTTGGCTATTGTACAGTATCCTGGACATGAACGACACCATCCCCATCGACCTAGAACTTAATCTAACTAGCATGTGCTGCTACTAGCGCTGTCTCCCGTGCAGCTCACACAGTTCCTCGCCTGTCAAGCATCAACGTGACAATTCGACACTCAGCATCAACATCATCAGTCACACACGCACACATGACTTCAAGGACACCCACCCCCACAATACAAAACCAGCCTTCAATCGAAGAACTCACTGCACAGCATGCCAAGGCACTCGAAGAGGACCGAAAAGATGCTCTGTGTGAATTTGAGTGTTATGAACGTGAACCAGTCATGTTCAATGCGGGCGAGCATGTGGCTGATCTCATTTGCTTCTGGGAGGTGAGCTCGACTTTTCCTTCACATAACGAAGGTGCTAAAGTCAATTTAAGCACATGGAAAAAGTGTATCCACTACTTTTCCGTGTTGCTATAGATGTCCTGCCAGCTCAGGCATCCTCTGTGCTGTGCGAACGTGTATTTTCAAGCTTCGGGCCGAATCCATTACACTTCTATTTGTTCCACCTCGACCATTGAACCTAGAATGAACTCTCACCTCGATTCCGTTCCGTTCAATTCGCAGCAACACTAGTTGAGGGTATCTTGGAGCACACACTCTTCAAATCAATTCCTCATGTGGGAGGTTCAGCTTGATCGGATAAGTATTTTCATGCACGGCAAGATGGCAAGCCCTCAACGTTTACCGTTTTACAGACGTAAGTGACCTTATTGTATCTGAATCGTAAGACTTGATCTGTCCGCATGTTAGTGTGTAGACTTGCAACGTGTACTATCACACATTGACCTGCATCGTGCTGCGATGATGATTATGTACGTCTTCATTGCGTGTAATTTACCATTCAATTTGACTTTTTCGGTCACAGCCTCACAGCCTCATGGCCTCAATGAGCTAATCAGCACACCTGGACTGCGTGTATGATTACATTGAGGTCACTCCGACACCACCCGACTTCAAGATTGCATAAAATAGCATCAACTGTGAGACGGCTTTGACTCGACACCCTGCGACCCACCCTCTCAGGTTCCAGCTCGTTGAGCATACAACTCCTCCCCATTGCATAATAAATGTCTGACTCTGGCTCGAATCCAATATCCTCAAGTTCTGATTCAGGCTCAGACTCGGCGGATGAAGGTGTCCAACGGTCTGTGGCTCCACCGGGTGGTAACGCTTCTATCGAGCACTACCAAGAGGTACACTGTTGCTTTCATTCAGATCGTATATACTAAATTCTAACATACACCTTGATACATTAGTATATTAAATACCTCCAGCTTCAACAAGGGCGGCTCCAGCAGCAGAATACGTCTCTGAATGAGAGCAACAACATTCTTGCTGCGCAACAGCTGAAACGTTCTCGCAAACGCCCTCAAATCCCATCATCCAGGGTACCATCTGTATCACAAGGATCTGTAGCACCATCCATGTCTTCTGCATCCTCCGTCGTAGCTTCTGACTCATCGAAGATGGGTGACATCGACTCGGACAAGCTTATTTTAAGCTTGGCCAAAAAGTATGCACTCACTACCGAGATGTTCCTCCCCGACAAGGTCATTTTTCAAACAGACTGTCCTGATCCTCTAGTCGATTTCTCGAATCCAAATCGTTATACGAAGAGGTCTACAGAAAAGGATGCACTTGTTGCTGAACTCTATGCATCCATTGACCATGTGTTGCATGCTCGGATGCGAACAAATCTGTTCTTCAACCAGGTGCGTAGTTTTTCCTACCTCAAGTCATTAATATTATCGTTATAAATTTAACCAAAACTTCATTTAGTTTGGGAGTGGAATGCAGCAAGCTCGCTCTTCATTCCTAAACAGCCTGCGTACTGTTGCAGGTGGCATCTTCAACATGCCTAACGAATATTTCGTTTCCAAATACGATCGTACTTCCCTCCGGCAGGTCACAGACTTGATTGGATGGGAAGCAGGCAAGGGAAAGATGTATGATATCTTCAAGGCGCCGATACTTTACCCTGACCACGTTGTGAATGAGAAGAAAATTTTCAAAAATTGGATCGTCATCGCAAAGGTAGTCTACTCATCAATCACAGACCCAGCTACTCATATGTTGCTTCGAAGGTTATCAAGGTTGCGATATGTGGAAAGATGTCATTGTATTCCAAAGCGCGTGGCGGACCACCTTCCTATGCCAAGATATGGAGGCTTACAAGCTGCACTCCTGGCCTGATTGCATTTGGTGTCACATCGGTAGGGTTTCAGTACTCTAAATTTATACTGAGCTGATACTCATCACGCCCTGTAGATCATATTCATCCTATCTCCGGACCAGGAATTTTCGGGCGATGGAGTTGGTGCTATTTCCTCGATCGCATATCACTCCCTCTTTCAGACAGTCAAGAAATTCTTCATCGTTAAGTGGACCCACCAGCGCATCAAATCTATTGTCGACGAAATCAATGGATATGTCTTCGGTGGTACTGTAAAGATGCAGCCATCCGATGACACTCAGTGTACTGTGGAGTGCGTCACTGAATCACTCGATCGCATCATGGCTGCGCTAGACGCCAGCGATTCAGACTCGAACGATGAGTCATTGGAATATGTCAACTTGCAAGAGCAGGCTAATAAAGATGTGCACCTTGCCACTGTAGCTGCAGCTCCAACCATCACAACCTCGCAACCTACTATGTTCACCGTCGACACTCCTCGACTCGAAGTTGCAGCCCCAGGGCCTGCTGTCATTCCACAGCCTTCTATCTCAACTCCACCTATCCCGACACCCATGGCACCGCATGCAGAGACTTCGGCCAATCCCCAGGATCAGAGTGAGGATGCATTACCAGCCGCCGGGCTTATTGGTGTTGCCAAATCTCAGGCAAAGACATCCAGGGGCAAGAAGAAAACTAAGTCGTCGGCCAATGATATCACAACTATTCGCCGCTCCTCACGTCACACAACAACATGAAATTAGAGTCTCCTACTTTGTAGTTGTGTTTCTAGTCTTACTATCAAGATCTGATCACACAATTCCTACAGACACGAGATTTTAGCTCCATTGTAATCTGAGAATGTTTAGGTGTCCTTCGACCCGGAATGCATACATATACTATCCAGACGCCCTCACATACCCATAATCATGAACGGAGCGCTGACAAGCGCGACACCTCGAAGTTTGGCGTTGATCTTCATGCTGGACGCCCCCACATACCCATAATCATGAATGGAGCGCTGATGAGTGCAACACCTCAAAGTTTGGCATTGATCTTCACGCCGGATGCTACCACATACCCATAATCATGAACGGAGCACGACACCTCGAAGTTTGGCGCTGATCTTCACACCAGACACTACCACATACCCAGTTTGCGGATTCAGATGTGCCATATTGATAACCTTTCAGCTAGTTCCTAATTACCTTGTTTACAAGGTTGACACTCACAGCCGAAAAGATAAAGTTATGCGGCCGTGGGAAGCAATGGTCGATTTTACGATATATTTTCTCTACTAGATGCTCGCAGGGTCTTTCTCAACATCCTCCACGGTCTGCTTTACTTTCCATTGTTGCTCTGTCTCCTGGTCCTTCTTGGCCAACATTTATGTCTGCATCTTTTCATACCACCATTTCTGTGTTTCCATGTCTAACCTCGCCAATCTCTCGTCTTCAATTCGCAAATGTTCGCAGGGGTGCGTCATCAGCAACTTTTCATCGAAATTCCGCAACAATCGAATATTGTCACGGCCGCGATGTAAAGAGTTGGATCCTGGTGGGCTTACACAAAAGCGTTACCTTTTGAGACTCTGAGTGCGAGTAGGATGTTCGTCCCTAGGAGACTGCCTGTAGGATTATCTCTTGATATAAAATGCAAGGGATATCTAATTTTAAGATCGAAGAAGGGAGAACAGAGTGATACCTTTAGCGCGTCTGAAGTTCCGAAGAATTTGTCCGAAGTGTCCGGTAAGTCGACCGGTATGTCCGACCGTTGTCCGATGTTGAGAACGAAGGTCCGAAGTCGCGCGAGGCTTCCGGTGAGTTTCCGGTGAAACAGTAAGGTTTCCGGCGAAAGAATAGGATCTGCGTAGTACAACTAGCAAAGTCCGTTGAAAGACTTAAGGAGTTTTCAATAGCAAAAATTGGCAGCGGTCAAGCCAAACAATCGATCAGAAGAACAAAATCAATTGCGCGAAGTATCAAAATCCGAAAGTGACTCCTACTGACTATGACTTTGAAATGAGGGAAGTGAAGTACCGTCCGAGTATCTAGCAAGCCAGAATATATCCTATGGCGTGAAAGTCCGGAATCTACGTAGGCGAAAACTGTAGCGCGATAAGACATCCGAAATGTAATAAGACTCAAGGCGAGTCGCTTCAAGAATATACATGTAATAACGCGCGAGGAGCATATCTATACGTATTAGCAAGGATTTTTGATGTATGTTCCCTTGGGTATAATCAATAACAGATAAACAAGTGAAAAACGCACCAGCGAAGTCAAACGGGCAAGGATAGGACATGGTACGGAGGATCGGAAAAGCTAGAAAGGCCTCGGGAATGGGCGGACGACCTTCGGACGACTCAGAAGAATGTGCGGAACCTTCGGAAGGTCGGAAGTGTGTTGGGAAGCATAATATGTGATTTCGACCAGATACGTGTCCAGCGCCGACCCGAGTGTTACAGCGACCTCAAGTCTGTATTGCTACAGTCTCATTAGTTCTTCTCTCCCAGATATCGGCTTGGGAAATCTCCTGCTTGAGCTCTCAAGCTATAGCCTGGGGGTACTCCTGCGCAATCTACTATCTTCAACTCGCAATTGTATGTCCGAGGCCCACCCACCCAATGCTTTTGAGGTCAGTATTCAGTGAAAACGTCCAAGGCCTGGGTCTCACCATAACATTGGTCTCAGATAACCTTTGCAACGACAAGAAGTACATTACATCGTGGACTTCAGCAGGATGGAGCATGTCAGCTCCAACCAAACACCATGACGAATTCTCCCCCCTGAACCTGCTCAAACTCGGTGAGACAACTTCAAACATCCCTCTTTGGTGATTAAACGCGTGGCCATCACAGATGTCTCATGGACACGAACCCCAGCTTGGGTCGAGCTGACATCTCCTAGCGTACACCACGATCACGCATTCTTTTGGTCTCTCGCATCGCTTGGGTTTCTAGAAACTCGCTCGAAAAGCCTGGAATCATCATTAACGAATCGTCCTTCTCCTCAGCACTAGGTTTCCCTTCCTCCGGACAATCATGTATTATCCTTTGATTTCCTTTACTACATAAGCACCCATCACACAAGCCAACTCTTCCTGCGAGTACGACGACGCCCGTGTTCCCATCTTGCAGAGTCGATTCAGACTCTACCTATTACTATTGTAACAACATGTCATTCTTCTAACCTGTTTTATGTCTGAATCGACTCGCATTCTTCTGGCGCCACCCAAACGTCCATCTATTAATTTCTCAACCTACAATAAAACACGCTGACCCATTTTATTCAAAGTTACAACTAAGAACATCAACAAGAACAAGGCCGCTGCCACAGCTGCTAAGGATGGAATGATCACCCACCGGCTCCTGAACCCTCGCGATGTGTTTCAACCTGCAGGTCGGGGGCGAACACTCAACAGGTGATCACCCAGGAGGTACAACGTGTTCAGGCTGCTCGACGAACTTCTTTCTATCTCGTCTCAAAGACCGAGACACAGGAGGAAGTTCAAGACGATCGTAATGTCTTCTGATGCTCCCGAGACTGACATAGACGAGCAAACGCAACACGAGGCAGAAGTGGTGGCTGTTCTGGATGTTGTGGTGGCACCTGAAGCTGACCCCGATGGTGACGAGTGGGGCGATCTCGATGCTGAGGATTTCGATGATCCATTGATGGTCAGCGAATATGTTGTCGAGATCTTCAAGTACATGAAGCAGACCGAGGTACGAGTCTCCATATATTTTTATCATTCCATTGTAATTAATGAAACACCTTCAGCTTATAACACTTCCTAATCCGAAATACATGGCATCGCAAAAAGAGCTGGCCTGGTCGATGCGTGGAATCCTTCTCGATTGGCAGGTGTAAGTACATGCACGGTTCCGATTACTTCATGAGACTGTGTTCCTCTGCGTGAACATTGTCGAAAGGTTCTTGTCAGCATGCGTCGTCTCCCTCGCTAAACTTCAACTCATGGGCATTACGTGTCTCTCCATTGCTTCCAAAGTTGGAGAAATTGTCGCACCATCCATCTCGCACTTCCTTCACTGTGTGGACTCATCCTACACTGAATCCAATATCCTTCTCGCAGAGCGGTACATCCTCAAAACAATCGATTGGAACTTGAGCTATCCAAACCCGATGCACTTCCTGCGCCACACACGCAAATCAGATGATCACGATGGGGAAACACTGGAGTGGCGGTTGCTGGCCACACCACCTTCCCTGGTGCTGCTGCGCCGACCTGGTCGGGACACCTCATTCTCGGCAATGATAAATGGGTAAGTAGTGTATGTGCCATGTTCGATGTTGTTGATAACATTTCTGGGTTCTAGACTCTAAATCATGCCCAGAGTGATGGGAAGAGGGCGAGCAGGTGTCTCTTAGCTGAGTTACTGGCCATTCGTGCAAGAAATCGAGCGGAAAGGGAGTAGCTAGCGGCGGCAGGCTTGGACGGTGATGAGTATGAAACTTCGTAAGTCCGGTGACGTGCATTATCATTCAATATCCCTTCATCACGACTATCACTCACCCAACACAACTGACAGTCAGCAGCAAACAGAGCAAGAAGGATGGGGGAGAGGGTCATTTTCACCGATATTATAATGTAGATTAGTATTTGTATTGACATCTCGCAATAACAATTGATATGCAATGCATGCTCATCACCACCTCGTTAGGATGGCATTAAGACTTGGTTGATATGCATATTAAAACTCAGTGGGTACCATTAAAATGGGCATTAATACTCGGTGGGTACCATTAAAATGGGCATTGATACTTGGTGGGTACATTAAAATGCCTATTATGTCATCATGTCGATGTGCATTTAAATGGGTCAAAATGCTGACTGTTTGATCATAATGTATTATAATAGGTCCGTGTCGTTAGGCCATTTTAATGGATTAAAATGCCGTAAAAAAAGTTCCGACATTATTTATTACACCTAGCTGTTCAACGTTTAACACTCAACGACTGCACTATTGATCATTAAATGCTCGATTACACCTTACATCGTCTAGTACTAAGTTTACTGATGTACTGATTGATCATCAGCTCCCTCTCCTGTAGGTGATGCACCGCCATGACTACTTCGGCTGCAACCCTGGCCGATATCAACGATACACGCGAGCGAGCCCGCCTCGAATTTCGATGATGCCACCAACATATTCGCTTTCGGGCCTTCAGCTTGATGAGAAGTCTGCGCTTTGCTCATTGCTACTCGCCACTGGAAGCCCGGACATTGGATGGAAAGAAGCTGACATCCGTGTCACATGGCCCAACGATGAAGATCCTGAGTATCATATGGACTAATCTCTCACGTCAAGTTGCAGGTCCTAGCTGAGAAGTGGTTAATGAATGTATGTGACGAGCTTCTTATCTTTTCAACCGTTTTAACATCGACATCGCCACAAAGTCGAGCCATGCTCAAGGATCTCCGCCGAGTACCGCCAGGCTTTTTCGATGGCAACAAAATGAGTCGTCTGCATTTTGTGACCAACTCTTGTGGCTATCTCAAAAGATAGGTATGTAGAGTCTAGATTCACCAGTAATCCCTGCTTCTCTTATTCAACTATTTATGTGGGCTTTGCTCGCATACATGATCCAGATCTGCTGTAGTCACCGAACACCGATCATTTCCTCCCCGACCAGTAAGGAGCAAGAGTCGATCGGGTACAAGGTGTTATACACTTGCCTGGGAGACGGCGCATAATACGAATAAAGAGCGGAGATACAACCCTGGAGGTGTCTGCGTGGGTGATGATCTATCCACTGCCCAATAACACAATTTGTGATGGGCCGATATTGTGACGATGTAGCAAAATATGGAATACGAAGATGGGCTCTGCGGTGCATGCTGCTTGCCCAATCTTACACCTGTTTCATATCTTGTGTATGTATGTATGTCTTCTCTTTTCATGATCATATTCTTCTGTGATCATCGGATATCTCCAGAACATCTGCCGCCTATGCAGAAGTTTGATGTGATTTGAGCAAGAAGCCTTATGTTTATAGGCGATGGGAGGCGCATCACCGAGTTGCATAATCGCCAGCGATTACCCCACTTCCCCCGTTGTTATAAGGACGGTCGTGTTATATACAGTTTACTTACCCACTGCTCGAATCATGGCCCTTGCAGTTGATCGCCACCTTGCTATCCTCGCTGGCATTTCTCTTTCCTTTGTCGCCGTCAAGGCACTCAAGCGGTTCATCAAAAAGCGACAGAATAACGCTCCTCTTTCTCCTGGCCCAGTGTCCCTCCCACTGTTGGGGAGCGTCTTATCTATCGACGCTTATGAGCCTTGGCTGACTTACACTGAATGGGGTGCTGCGTATGGTACGTGAACAGATAGTATGGGACATACGTGGCGTAAATCATTATATCAGGGGACTTGCTCTTCGTGCGAAGTCTAGACGAGGAAATGGTCGTGGTCAATTCTCAGCACATCGCAGAAGCCTTACTGGACAAACGTTCTCGAATTTACTCAGATCGACCATACCTAGCAACACTCGTGCCGTGGGTTCGTTCAGTATCCATCTATTCAACCAGTCTAACGTTCTCGCAGATATGGGTTGTCGATCAACTTTTCATTCATAGCTTATGGCGATGAATGGCGTCTCTGCAGACGACTTTTCCACCAAACTTTTCGCCCCGAGTCTGCAGCAAAATTTCGCCCAATGCAAATCAAGCGGGCTCGTGAGATTATCGTCAACCTGGTCGATGACCCTGAAAATTATTACAACCACTTCGCAACGTCAGCGAATGATTTTTTTTATGAATTGAACTATTATTTACCTATTCACAGATTCTCGTTATCTGTTGTGATGTCAGCTGTGTATGACTACGACATCAGTGCTCGTGATGATCCCATGGTGCAGACCGTGATAAAGGCACTGGTTCCAGGCTTGACCTTGATAACCCCGGAGAGAGCATTATTGCTCAAAACCTTTCCCTTCTGTGAGCTCAACTCTTTTGGATGAGACAACGTTAACGTGACACGGACTTTGTGAAATGTAGTACTAAAGGTGCCTGACTGGTGCTGGGGATCCTCGATCAAGCGTAGTGCAAGAGGTTCGACGGAGCGCATCAATCAAATGGCCGACATGCCGTTTCGATATGTGCAGCAGCACATGGTGGGTATTTGTTTTCTCTTGGTTTCAGACATTGACTCGGCTCTTTGCAAGGCCGACGGTTCGTTGCTCGCTCGGTCTTCGATGGTTGCAGAAAATTTGCGACGGATGGAGAGGCAAGATGAGGCATTCAAACCTGTATTCGAGAATGGATTGAAGAAAGCAGCTACTACTGCTATTATAGGTAAGTAAGCAAGCCCTTTGACAGGCAATGCTGTGCTCTCAACATGCACTAATATTGCGCAGCTTCATATGAAACGGTAACTGTCGGTGGATCTTTTATGGGACTAGAATAAGTTAACGAACCTGGACATACACGCCGGCCAAGGCCGAAGATGTATTCTGCAGGGTCATCATTTGTCAACGCGCCATCGCTGTTAAGGAACCTCTCTGGTATGAAACTAGATGCGTCGGGGTACCGCTTTTAATCCCGTGTAATACCCCTACAATCAAGTCAGTACCACGGAAGCTGGGAGGAACATATCAGACCATGTATTGTACGTGATGATTGCGCCTGATGCACGATACTATAAATAATCATTGCGTTGATTCCGGGACAAAAACAGCGGACCTTTTGGAATGAAGTACCCATCATATACGTCATCACTTGAGGCAGCATGTGGTACGCCTATGAGGTCATCTTCAGCACAGGCCAGATCATTTGGCGAGGAAGAATACCAAGGGGCGCAACAGGCTGCCATCGCCAAGTCTCTCGCATGACTGCTTCGATGTAGGGTAGCGATGCTCTGTCCTCGAACGTTGGCAGCCGTTCTTTTCCAACCACTGAGTCGATTTCCGCTTGTGCGCGTTTCTGAACTTCTGGATATAATACCATGGCCAGGAAAAAAACCATCAAAGTTGCCGCAGTCTGTAACGAGGATAAGGAGCGGAGAACATGATGAGCTGTCTACTTCTTGCCAGTGTATAACAGATCAGCAAACGCGATGAACGTATCAGTTATTCGAGGGTTGTAACGTTTTGGTGACGGGGTGCTTGCCATTTGATATTAATATCAAAGTTCAAGTTGAAGGTGAGATCATCGGGGCTGGGTGGGCAGCCTGGGACATGTCACACGGTAGCCGAGGATCCTAGGGGACTTGACATATCTTGTTTTCGTGAAATTCGTAAAGCAATCGTAAAGTCTATCTACCCTCACCTTAATATTGCAAATAGCTTGAACAAGATGCATGCGGCTCCGATACACCCCAAAAATGTCATGCGCAGTACTTTTCTGTGTCTGCGTCTGCCTCGTTGGAGTGGTTCATGCTACACCTATAACAGATACAACAAACACTACTACCAGCGATAGTTTCTTGGAAGCCCCATCATTCACGACCAGAACCATGTGGACCATCATCTCTAGCTCCGTTTTCACTCTATTTGCGTGCATATATAGTGCTATTCACCCCAATATCCCAAGTCCTGAGGACAGACCCCTTCGTGTCCTCCTGCGGCTGCTTGGCACCATGACTATGGCACTAATCGCTCCTGAACTGATCGTCACATGGGCTATGCGCCAATGGTTCAGCGCTCGACGAGTTACAAGACAGTTCGAGAAATCGGGGTATACCAATGTTTGTCTGGAGTCTGAAGGTAAGTCGTGTTTTTGGAAACTCTGTGTCTCACAACTCAGTATACATCCTTAGAAAAAGAGTCTGTTGAAGCACCTGAGCAATGTAAGCATCGCTTCCTTTGCCTCGTTGCAGTGCTTGATAAATGTGTATCATTCGCGCTAGTGTTTCTTTGGCATTTCCCTGGTGCTCTTGCGAGGTGGGTCAAAAGGTCCGTCGAGACTTATTTCTCGAAGCAATCTGAAGGTAAGCCCGATTTGTGCTCACCTAAACGTTGACTCACGTGCGTCCTTAGATTATACATGGACTCAGACGCACAGCTTCTTTGTGCTAATGGGTGGTTTCATGCTTTATGTGGATGGGAAACCCTGCCTTACCCTACGCCCTGATCACATTCTCAAATTAATACACGACGGGTGTATCGACGTCCCTACCCTAACGAAAAACCAGATCCAAGACAAGAGCAAAGGTAATGCGATATCGAAAGGGTTGGTCGTGTTTCAGGTGGCCTGGTTTGTCATCCAGCTCATCACCCGCGCCATCTATCACCTCGAAACCACGCAGCTTGAAGTGGGGACACTTGCTTTTGCAGTTCTCAATTTCCTAACTTATGCTGTGTGGTGGGACAAGCCTCTTAACGTGCAATGCCCACATCCAGTGCACTGGAAATCGATTGAGTCAAAGCCAGAGGATCACATTGAGTACGTATGCGCCTCAGCAATTATATCGTTGCTGATTATGTCCGTCTTAGTGTCAGCGACAGAGACGAATTCACTCGGCTTCGGATCTTGCGTCGAGTCTTCCGCCCAGTTGTAGAGTTAATAGGCTGGGCTGAAATCCCCACATCTCGAAAGCTCCGAGTTCCAACATTTGATGGTAGCATCGAACTCGAAGATTCGGATAACATGGTTCTTCGGCTCGCTGGATTGCTTATAGCCACCATCTTTGGCGGCATCCATTGTATGGCTTGGTTTTTTGCTTTCCCTGCGTGTCAGGAACAGGCGCTATGGCGCATGAGCGCCATCGCTATAACTTGCACACCCTGGCTTAGTATCCTTACGGTATTACTCTTTAACGTCCTGGACGCACGAGATGCGTGCTTCGACGCGGTTTATGCATTGTTTGTTATGTTGTACATTACAGCTCGTGCTGTCCTCTTGGTACTTATGTTCACCACCTTACGCGATCTTCCTCCTGACGTATACAAGGCCGTGTCTTGGACTAGTTTGGTGCCGCACTTGTAGCTTGTGATCACAACACTTCATACCTTTGTGAAACCAATAAGTACCACCTTAATCGTAGAATACTCTTGCTGGCTTTGGAGGCAATGAAGTTCACAATTGGTGGTTAGGCGGCTGGTTACATTGGATGGAGTGATATCATTGTACTTATCCGATGGCATTGGAAATTACGTGCCGTTGTACAACCTTGATACGTTATGATCAGCGGGGCCAAATTCACAAAGCGCTCACCGCAAGAGGGCAACATCGTGTTCTCCTCCCTCTGCTCGAATATTGAATTGGATGTAGTCGAACGCGTTCGAGGATGTCCAGATCGCGTTCGTACGGTTCGAATGCAGAGCCTGTTCAAATGTGTGAAATATGTTTGGTGGACGAATCATGATGAGATGGAGATCGTCAGGTATGAAAAGGACTCATCATACTGGTGTTGTATTGGTGTCACGGTAGTTCGTGAATCCCGTATATACTCAACTTCGTTAATTGTACCGGCAGCTCTCTCGCGGGACTGATAGATGGGCTTTCATGTAGATGTGACCGATCCATCCGCCTCGAGAACAAGGTGAATTACGCGACCACATGACCTGCACACAAGTCTCTATACAGTGCCATACAAGTCTTTGGGCACTTATGCGTACCGCTTGTCGCACATGGATCGACTTCTATCAAGGCTGCAAGACGTTATCAATATCAAATAGCTTATGTGTTGTGACAAATGGTTTTGGACTAGGTCGTTCTGTGGCCGCTGACTCCTGAGCATGGCAGTTCAGGGCAGGTTACACCGGCACACGTCTATATGCCGTAAAGGTACCACGGCGGTATGGAATGGTGTATAGTCTAGCGACTCTAGCCGTGCAAATATACAGATCGATATCCATAGACTGAAGCCAAGCTGTGCTTCCACGACACTGTTCAAGGGGTTCTGGAATCGGGAATCGAGGCCGTCAAGAATCGACACTTGTCCAAAGTTTTCGGTGACGACATACTAATAGCCCCATAGCAATGATAGCATTGATGGGGTCACCGGCCGCACAAAATCCAGACACATATACGGGGAAGCTTCAGTTACTCATTCTGTTTGAGCGATGGCCCCAACAGTAGTACTTGCACTTGCCCTCATAGCGCTTGTATCTTTCGTGGTAGTGCAATCCTTGCAAAAGAAAAGACACACTCAGAAGCATCCTTTACCCCCTGGTCCTTCACCTCTCCCTTTTGTTGGAAACGTGATCGGAATCGACCCAGATCGACCATGGTTAGCATACTCAAGGTGGGGAACTGAGTATGGTGCGTAGAACTTCCCTCTGACACGTGGATCTGGATGTGCTGAATTGCGACACAGGGGAAATCGTTTACTCCCGACTCTTCAGTCAGGATATCGTGATCATCAACTCCGAAAGAGTTGCCCATGACTTGCTCGACCGTCGTTCACAGAACTATTCCACGAGACCCCCAGGGCTTGTGCACCTTCTTGGCTTGTGAGGCCCTTCTATCATTTGATGCACCCATTGTTAAACGAGTCCTAGTTTTGGTCATGACTACAACTCTGTTTTTCTACCTTACTCAGACAAGTGGAAACTTCGTTAGTATATTGTCCCTTCGAGCTCTCTTATCGCACTTATCATGTCTTTACAGACAGGCGAATCTTCCACGAAGCATTCCATTTAGAAGCAGTGTCATCCTTCCGTCCGATTCAACTGCGCAATGCTCACGGTTTGATACTAAACTTACTAGCCTCTCCGGAGGTGTATGGAACCCATTTCCACACGTGAGTAATATATCCTTTCATGTATTGCGTGGCTGAACCATCCCTTCTACATAGCTTTAGCACGTCTATCATCATGTCAATCATGTATGATTATACTACAGCGCCCGTTCATGATCCCTTTCTCGCGCTCGTTGAACGCTCACTTGAGATAAGTGTAAAATCACTCAGGCCCGAGGTCGCAGCTGTTTTAACAGAGTTACCAATATGTGCGTATAACTTCGATCAACTGTAGTTTTATTCTAATGCACTCATAGTGAAAAAAATTCCTCCTTGGTTCCCTGGAGCGGGCTTTGTAAGGCATGATATAGTCCAGAGAACCCTCGTTCCCATGATTGTGGACATGCCCTTCGAACATGTGAAGAACAACATGGTAAGTTCCAAGTGCCTTTGATCGGAGTATTATCTCATGATGATTCTCAGGCCGCGGGGACGGCTGCACCATCCGTGGTGTCGGATGCATTGAAACGTATACCAGTTAAGACACAAGATGAAGGGGAGGCCGCTGTTCTTGAGAAAGGGATTAAGGAATCCGGTGCATCTGGTTATGCTGGTTCGTGACAAATTTGCAGTGATCATTATGTTTTTGATGTATCTCTACTCATTTTCTCCATGCTCCTAGCCGCCTCAGAAGCTGTATATTTTGACGCGATTTCTATTCTAGTTGTATACTGACCAAAGACCCAGACGACGTCCACTTTATACGTCTTCTTGCTCGCGATGGTTCTATATCCCGAGGTGCAAACACGTGCGCAAGCAGAGATTGATTCCGTCATTGGGGAAACTCTCGAAAGATTGCCCGACTGGGATGATCGCGCTTCTATGCCCTACATCAATGCCGTCATACTGGAGACGCTAAGGTGGTTCCCTGTCGTCCCTCTGGGTCAGCACTCTTGACTCGTCAAACTCCGGTTAGCATGGTCACTGACTGTGGATTTAGGTATTGCACATGCCACGGTAAATGACGATGTCTATGAAGGCTACTATATTCCAAAAGGTCAGTCTATGGACCGAGAACCCTATCCCTCTTCTAAAACTGTTTCTTAAGGGGCTACTGTAATACCCAACGCATGGTGATTCATCATATCAAGTGAACAAAGATCACAAATAATTATTTCTTATGCAAGGTTTATGGCGCGCAATCCAGATAAATATCCTAACCCGACGAGGTTCATACCGGAGCGTCACATGACAAAAGTTGCCGTCGAAGAGCCGTCAACACACGGCCCTGATGACGTTTCCTTTGCTTTTGGATTTGGAAGGCGTATTTGGTACGAAGTTTAGAGTTCTACGAATAGATGGGTTTGGCTCACCTTTCAGCAGTGTTGGACGACATGTTGCCGATGCTTCTTTATTCGCCGCAGTTGTGAATATTCTAACTGTTTTCCGGTTGGAGCGTGCACCAGGATGGAATGTCGGGCCTGATGCTGAAGGAGTGAAATGGACGGGAGGCTTAACGACGTGAGTCATCCTTGAGCATTCCTGCAGTTTATCTGAGCCAGGCGATGCAGGCACCCTGTATTCCCGTGCATATTCACCCCTCGCCACACGAAGGAAAGGGTATCGCAGTTGGTAAAAATGCAATGCTAAGAGCTGTGCGGATATGGTTCTGGGGTGAAATCATGTATTACCTGTGTTTTTAGTGTCGTTGGCTTTCGTTATCCGTCAGCATATTCAAGTTTGCTCCAGATTTATTATGCAACATGGGAAGAGGCCTGCCACCTGCCAAATAGAGGTTAAATGTCAGGCGAGTCCGTTGTATCTTGTGCACACAAGGATCTTGGGAGTCTGTTGGATGGAGAAGTGATATTTCAGTAAGCTATATACATGCGTTCGAAGGAGTAACGTGGTGATAAGCTGGAGTAGCTGCTAGATACGAAAAACAACCGTATTCGTGCAGGATAGACAGTCAGATTCGAGCGCTGGAAGCACGGACTGCTCGACTTGATGCGATGGGATACATTCTAGAAGCTGCGAAGACAAGAACCGGACGCATGTATGCAATACTGTCGAGGACAGCGGGTATGACAGTAGGGTGGATGCATTACAGTGATGGAGGCGTGGGCACGAACAGCCTTAGATATCCTGGGCGTCTATTGAAATGAGGCAAGCTGCGAAGCACCATAAAACGCACCATGCACCCTCTGCAACTTAGAGAAAGACATAATCCCTCCAAAGTCTAGCCTCGTCCGTATTCCATACATCAACATCCAGTAAAATGTCGGAGCTCATTACAATCACCACTCCCCTGCGATTGTTCGAAGGCCATGAAGAACGCATAAGTGCAGTCGCAGTTTTCCCTGATAAACGTCGGATGATTACGGGCTCGTACGACACAACGCTTCGTCTGTGGGACTTGAAGACAGGTGTTGTGTTGAAGAAGATGGAGGGGCATCGCAATCGGGTGTGGAGTTTGGCGGTATCACGAGATGGGCAATTGATAGCAAGCGGTGATAGTGGTGGAGAGGTCATCGTCTGGCACGGAGAAACTGGCGAATCACTCACCAAAATCGAAGCATACTCCAATTATATCGACTCGCTGGATTTTTCTCCCGATGGAACAGTGCTGGCCACTGGTGCATTTCGGGAAAAAATGACGAAACTGTGGAATACCAAAACCTGGCAGCTGCAAGGAGAGACGATCGAGTGTGATTGTGTCCGCTGTGTACGGTATTCACCGTCTGGAGAACTTCTTGCCATCGCAACATATGAGGATATTCAAATTTACAATTCAGGCACGAGGAAGCGCGTCAAATCATTCAAGGCTCACAAATCATCCAACTTGTCACTCGCATGGACGCCCGATGGCACACGCCTTCTCACAGGCGGCAATAATTCTGATCCTACTATACGCGAATGGGATACAAAAACCTGGAAGCAGGTCGGTGATCCTTGGACGGGCCACACTGACTTCATCCACGCTATTGCCATTCATCCTGCTGGCACACTCGTCTCATCCGCATCCAGAGACAACGATGTTCGTCTCTGGCAGCTCTCAGATCGACGAACCGTTGCCATATTCAAGCGCTCATCCTACCCGGTCTGCGACACTTTCTCCGTGGACGGCAATCACATCTTCAGTGGAGGTGACGATAAGATGATCTCAGAGTGGACAGTACCTCAGGGTATACATCCAAAGGCATGTTTCTGTCTCTGACTCATATACCACACATCGAGCGTGCCTCTTGCAGACTATTGTCACCACAACAGTCCGCGATGCATGCATAGATGGAGACTTATCGACCGCCGAAGAATTACTCGTGCAAGATATCAATACCGATGCGAACAACCATACTCCCTACGTCCATCACTCAAAGGCATGCTTCCGTTCTTGACTCATATATAGCACAATTAGAGCATGTTTCGTGCAGATCCTAGCCATCACGACCTCCCGTATTGCATGTCTAAATGGAGACTTATCTACCGCCGAAGAACTACTCACTCAAGATATCAACACCAGTCCACACAACTATACCTCCTACGCCCATCGGTCATTCGTCATGGCACGAAAATACGACTGGGACCGCGCCCTTCTGGACGCAATCACGGTGAGAATCATCCCCGCCTTATACAGGACTAACTCGACGGTGACATAGTCCATCAGGATTCAGCCCTCATTGACTGGCTATATCTCCAAGGGTATTGCCCTCTGTGGACAAGGCCGCGTCCTGGATGCGAGGGCAGCATTTGATGTTGCATCCATGTACACGGACCAGGATTCAGAAATCCTTCATTTTCTGCTATTGATCAAGGTACGTTACATTTGTTTCACATACTCTTCCCTTCATCGCGTATTTCAGGTTATCACGTTCTTCAATGCAGATCAACATGACGAGGCAAACCTGCTCCTCAAAGAGCTTGCTACCGGTTGTCCGAATGCCGACACTCTCGCATGTGGCATCGTGCAAGTAAGTATCATCCATGCTTGGTCATCAACACTCATCTTTACAACTCGCACATTAGGCATATCTATACGTTCAACTCGGAATCAAAGCATTGGATGGCGCACGCTACGACGAAGCCGCCGACCATTTCACTGCCGCTCTCGACTCTCGCGATCCATCATCGAAATCGAACATTCATGAAATATATGAGGATTTGGTGGTGGTACGTCAAGATGATGCATGTATAACGCTTTTCATAACTGAATCTCTTGTCCAGCTCTTTGGCTGGGACCTGAAGTCGACATGGCAAAAGGCACACCATAAACGGTGTGATGCACTCCTTCGGGCGGGTAAACTCCAAGATGCCGTGAAGTCATACCAACACGTGATGACTTCAACTGACGAAATCACCAATGCCGACTGCCTCGATTGGTCCAACGGCGAGTCTAGAATCCGTAATGTCGCGCAGGCGACAATCCTCACCTGTATTCTTCTCAGATTTCAAACAGCAATGCAGCGCACTCTGCGCTGCCAACGGAGATGCCGCCTTCGCTGCAAGCGATTACGACAAGGCTATTGACCTATACTCGGTGGCGATCGACCTGGATTCTGCGTCCGATATCTTCTTTGCAAGTCGCAGCGAGGCAAAGTTAAGTAAAATGCTGTGGGAGGATGCGCTCTTCGACGCGCGAAAGGTGCGACGGCATCCACGTTTTCGTAGCTCATGTTGACTTCGGCGATGCACAGGTCACCGAACTCAATCCTTCGTCTCATGTTGGGTACCAGTTGTCACACTCAGCGCTGCGTGGCGCGCAACGTTATGATGAAGCCATCGAGGCCTTCACAATCATGTTGTCCAAGTTAGACGACGCTCCAGAAGAGCAGATACGAGGTAAGCCATGGAACATTGCTACCTCGTGTCGAAATGCCTATCTTGTTCTGCAGATCTGCGTCAGCAGTATGTCTGTCCATCGGAAGCAGAAGACGCCATTCGAGGAGCGGTTTGGATTGAACTCAGCAACGCCCCCCTTCGTCTGCTCAACACCTCTACGGGAATTCTGTGCGACCGAGCAGCACAGCTAAACTCCTTCAAAACAAGTCCGGAGTACAAGGAGCTTTTGTCATCCATAACGAAGCGTTCGGATCTCCAAATGGAACGCATCAAGGAGGTGGTGGCGACGCACTTCCGTTGCGTTTTGCTATCACACAGGTGGGAAGAGACGGAGGTGCTGCTGCACCACATCCAAAATACAGATGTGCGCGAGTTGAAAGGACTTGGTGGCATCACGAAACTGCAGTCGTTCTGCAAAATCGCTCGTGATGCGGGGTATTTCTGGGCGTGGATGGATACATGCTGCATCGATAAGAGCAACAACGCCGAGCTTGGAGAATCTGTCCAATCCATGTTCGTCTGGTACCGTCACTCGGCACTCACCATCGTCTACCTATCCGATGTCCCTCCTTCATCCGAACCTGGTGCACTAGCGAGCAGTGTTTGGAACGAGCGGGGATGGACCTTTCAAGAATTTGTCGCTCCGAAAGTCATTAGATTTTATCAGAAGGATTGGTCGTTATATCTCAACGATCGCTCTCTCAACCACAAAGAATCTCAAGCAATCATGAAGGAGTTGGAGGGTGCTACGGGAATAGATGCACAGGCCCTGATCTCCTTCCGTCCAGGGATGAGAGATGCTAGACAGAAACTGCAATGGGCATCGAAGCGCGTCACCACCGTGCAGGAAGACACCGCGTACTCGTTATTTGGTATCTTCGACGTCCACCTACCTGTCATCTATGGAGAGAGGAAGCAGAGCGCGCTCGGCCGGCTCCTTCAGGATATCGTGTCTCGGTCGGGCGACATCACTTCCCTGGACTGGGTCGGACAATCGTCCGAGTTCAACAGTTGCCTTCCAGCCGACCTCATCTCATATGCAACCCCGCCATACTCCCTACCATCATTGTCTGAAGATGAGATTCAGACAGCGGTCTCTTCGTTGCGAAACATTGTGCCTGTGGATTCAACTTCCCAGTTGTATGACCTGCTCGAGAACATGAATACTCCGCTCTTCGCAAACTGCAGACTGCGTCTTCCTTGCATCGCATTTCGTGTCACGGAAGTCAAACGGAGGCCTGGTCGTGCTGTTCATTCCACATATGAAGTCAAAGCAGATGGGCTTCAGGACTTGATGATCACCACGGGCAAGACACTAATTCAGTTCTCGCGCGCAAGACCCATTCGGCAGACTTTCTTTCTTGTCCGTCCATGGGATCGTCGTCTCCTTGGGCTGCCTGATTTTTCAGAGCAGCCCACCTTTGCAGACGAAGGGGAGAGCGTAGGGGATTGGTCCGAGTCCCAGTCTGGATTAGACGACACTGAAGAGTCGTCCAGCAACTCACCTGGAGAAGAGGAGTTGTCAGTTGACTTGGATGTTCACTCACAATCATTGCGTTTGATGGTTCACCTTGGGCAGGCTTTCAGCGCACTTTTGCTAGCGCAGCAACACGTTGGAGAATACAAGAGGGTCGCGTCGGACCAATATATCATTGCGCAGGTGAAAGACCCAGCTTCGATTGACATTACGAACATCAGGACCCTAGACATATTGTAGCTGAATGATTTTTTTACAACGCGTCGACGATCACATTATCATAGCCTCATATATCATACATACCCTGCAAATGACCCTCGCAAATACAAAATTTCAAAATTTTACATGTAGATGCACCATCTGCTCTCGAGGTGGTTGCAGAGGACGATATCGTGTCTGCATTAGAGTCAACATGTGCACTTAGACCGTGTTGACTTACTAACACACCCGGTTGTTTGGATTCATGGCTATTGAAAGTACCTAAGTACATATTAGTTCGTTTGCAATGGAGCATACACGATTATTCATATGCGGTGGCAGGCCGTAATCTAGTGTAGTAACCCGGCGCATTCCCTGGTGCATAGATCAGGCTTGGGTTATCAATTAGATATTACTGTCTGCAATCGCAAGACGCTCACCGGATAGCGAACATCGAACGCACTTCAACGCAGCGGGCATCGTTGTTACACTGGACCGGATTTCCTGGCCACGGAAATTTGTTCGAGCGTAGTAGTGGCGTCAGCCATGTCTCCTTTACTCTACAGATATTCACCCCTCGCCACACGAAGGAAAGGGTATCGCAGTTGATATAAATGTAAATGCAATGTTGAGAGCTGAGATGATGTATTACCTTTGTCATTGGCTTATGTTATCCGTTAGCATAATATTCAAGTTTGATGCTATCATGCATCATGCATCAAGCTTTACTAACTGTGCCCACCCTCGCCTGCCGTCGTTTCCCCAACGAGTGGGTACTTCGTTAATTGTACCGGCTGCAGCTCTGAATTATCTCTCGCGGGACTGATAGTTGGGCAAATTTCATGTGGATCAGTGACCGATCCATCCTCTCGTGACTTACGCGATCACATGACCTGCACACGCAAGTTCTCTAATCAAGCGGAGTTCGAATACTATCACTGGACGCTTACAGTTCTCTACGTGAATCAATCATCTGCCCTATCTGATACTCGCATGCAGCAAGAAAAAATGAAGACGCCAGGCCGTTGCAGAGGTTTATGCTGATAGTGTCACATCCCAGGGAATTATTGATACGGTACGTGGTTCAGTCAAAGACAACATCTAAACTATTGTTTTCTGCGGAATAGTATGTACACACCTCAGTGCGGTGCATGTGTCACGAAGGAAATTGTACAGACTCGAGAGACGTCTAAATTGAATACGTAGAAGACGCTGGGCAGGCAAGGCAAGAGAAGCGCTCTACTTCGCAGAGTCGGGGAATACTTGTTAATACCTCATCGTGATTTATACTCACTCAGGCTGGAGATTCCTTGGTGGAGCAATATTCCGGCAAAAATTCTTCACGTTTACGTCGAAAAACAGGAGAGCCCCAGAGATGGAGGACGCTCAACGGGCCCGAGCCAGCGTCACATACTTTATCGTATCCAGGAAGCTGCTTCTTCCAATCACAGTTGAATGGGGACGAATTTCTCAGTATATTGCCATAACAACAACTACGACAATAGGCCATCGTATCCTCCGGAAAAACGGTGTCCGCGGTAGCAACGTTAATCTTGGCAGTCTCGTAGTATACTGGACCCCGGACGGTCGAGCGACTGGCGTCTTCAGTAACTTCGACTTATCACCGACTCGAGATATTTTCCTAAAGCAGGAGCGTGCAAGGATAGTACCTTTCGTGGCGCTTGGCCTTCTCATTGGTATCACAAAGACAGTCATCGAAGGCAAGCGCCTGTATCAGCACGACGCTGAATCATTCATATGGGTGCTCCCCTGGGTCTCTCTTCGTTACAAAAATGGCAAGCTCAGCCTGAGAAAGGGAAGGTCGCTCGATAGATGGAAAGTGTATACCGTTTAAACGCCATCACAAGAAAACTGGCTTCTTAACAACACATCATCATAACGTGAGACCCTCGCGATCTCAAAAAAACGGGAACTTGCGATTTAGTGTCTTCGTTCTCTCGCCTTATTAATGCGGATGACCCTGAATGCACGGTGTATGACTAGGTCGTATTTCGGACGTGACTCGGGGAACACATACTCGAGGTTATAGCGTGTGCTAGTCACAGAGTTTGCATGCAGTCTACCCAAATTTCTTATTTTCTGGATAACATAATCCGACTAGAAGCTGAGGTTTCTTAGGACGATTTTACAAAATTCTTCTCCCGATGATCACATTATTCGATAGGGTCGCTCTCACCTGGGAGCTTACGGTTTATGCTTACGCCCCCCAATACTATTCCTGTGTCAGTGGATTATCGATCACCCGAGTCTCGTCGATAAGTCATAAGAAAGAAGGATCCGTTGCCCCCCTATTTCCGATGTCCACTGGTCTCTGGATACCTTGCTGTCAGACCTCGAGAAAGACGAGAATAGGCTTGTTTTATTCAGGAAGCGGGACAAAGAGGCGAGCGGCCATAATACATCATGAGTTCTTGGAGTGTTATCTTCCTGCTGACGGTCCAAATTCGACGATTATCGTGGACGCTCAAAGTATTTGGGGTATGCTTTCTTTTATAGTGTTTTTGTATCTTTGAATTGATTCCTCAATTAGATGAAATTCCCATTCTTTCCAGTCCTTCATCGCATCCAGATCTACTCTTGTCCAAATATAACTCTCGTTGCCGCCGCCACCGGTACCGATCCGCGTGACAAGAAGACTCGACGGGTTTGGAGCAAACTCCCATGCAAGAGTAAGTGTTCGTTCAGTAGATGGCGTCTTTGTTAATACAAAAGTTATCACAGTTGAGGAGCACAGCGACCTTGGGCTTTCAGTTCTGAATTTTCCAGGATACGGAGAACCATGGTCAACATATATGCATGCGGATACTGCTCAGAGAGGCATTCATGCCATAGGCTTCGCCCACAAATTGCCAATCGACAAATGGTAATCGTCGTATTACGTAATCAACGTCTTGGCAAACTGGGGTCACGGATAATTATAAACCATGAGCTCCCGGGTGTGAGCATTCCTATTCTATCAATGGTTGGCCAACAGAGGCCTCAGACGTCAGCCGACTTCTTGGCGGCTGACTTGCTGGATCCATTGACATGGGTGAGGCTGACTGCCTCGTGCGCATAAGTACCCTAGCCCCCCCTTGTCCTGAACTCGGAAGACACAACAGATGGCTGTCGCTGAAGATGCGTTCAAACTCCTCGGTAGAGTTGCTGATGCTTTCGACGATCCTTCCTCTCGCGAGTCACGAAAAGACTTCCGCGTAAACACCATCAAGATACGCAAGCCCCAGACAGTATGATGCAGTCTCACCGTGCACGTCGGGGGCTAACATCATGATATCTACCCATCAGAGTCGCTCCAGTCAAGAAAGTCAAGTTCAGCATGCTTACTATGCCCGCCGTGAGCCCTCTTTCTTCGACATCAGCTACATCTACGACGATGACGAACTCGCCGATATGGCATCGATGACTGCAAACCGTTCATGCGCGTCGTCATCTGAGACAATCAAAAGCCTCGCCGGAATCACCTCGCATGACGATGCGTTCTATGTTTGCGATGATACGGTTGCCTTGGTATTTCTATATCTATCTTAACATAGATCGCATCTAACAATTTTTTTTCAATAGGATGAATCACCATGCAGCGAAATGACCAAGATGGTCCGTGGAATTTGTTCAGCGTCTCATTATTTAACCAACGTCTAGTAGCTTTCTCCCAGCAGCAGTCCGCTCGATAGACTCAACAACCTTGCCCGTGCCGAACTCAAGAAGACCGGCTGGTTCGAACGACCGTACGTACATACAAATTTTTCTAACCCTCACTCGTTCACCTTCTTCTAGTGACCAGTGGTCCATCGTCAACATGGGCCTTTCAAGTCCAATGACGCACACACGTGGACCCATATCTCCCCAAAAAACACCTCCAGCCACCCTCTCGATTCTCCCCTCCATCACCACCGTCCCGCTTCCATCCTTTGCCCAAATACCGTCCCCGGATTCACCCATGCAGACGCATTCCCCCGCCTCCTTCAAAGCCAGTACCCCAAACGGCAAATACAGCTCGAGCTCGCGTGATAGTTTTCCTGACTTTAGCACGCTATCGTACGCCCCACGCAGCGAACCCGAGCCACCGCGACGTTTCGGTGTGAGTAGCCGCGTCAAGCAGCTCATGAAGCGCGTCTTGCACGTCAACGTCGGCGTGCATCCAAGCAGGAGATCAAGACAATCTTTGCTTGTGGGAGTGGGCTTGCGGCCCGCTTCTATGGCCGGAGCGTCTTCGGGTACGTGGGCGTTTGCTAGTATTGGATCTACGCATACTCAAGCGGGGAATCGATGGAGTGGACTTTGGCATTGATGTTCGACTCGGATTCGTTCATGATTTCTTTATTGCATTATTTTTTCAATTACTATATCCAAAATCCTCCTGTTCACTGCAAGAGGTTCTGTGGTTTACGATCAACTGGTCTTCATAGGGGTGCATATGCTAGAGATAAACTCTAATTAAGTATACGACTCCTCCCTAACAATACCATTACAAATTACATCTCGAAATGATGGCATGTACAATAGCTCAAGTCCATGTGTGAAGTCATACAAAAACCAAATGGTCATGACACAAACCCAACGTTCCAACCCACCCCATCCTATATCAGAGCCTGCTCGACATAGAACTCCCTCGCATCAGTCAACTGCTCAGTCAGCGTTTCCAACCAAAGCTCCTGCACAATCCCCTTCTCCTTCGCCCACGCATCCAACCTCACGCTCTTAACAGTCATAGCAAACGCAGCGCTCACAGGTCGATGATCGCTCACATTCGCCTCGTATCGTCTATAATGCAGCTGCTTCACACGTTCCGGGTCTCTGGAACGCCAAAGCACACGGTCGCACCAAGCCGGCACCCGTTTTTTCTCGCTCGTGTCAAATTCGTTGGAGCGGCGGTCGTATTTGTAGGTGGGGGAAAAGGTGAGAGGTCCTTCGCGGAAGGAGCGGAGGCGGAATCCACGGTTGTGCTTCATTTCTTTGAGGAGTTGGTCGTGCGTGTGCAAGGCATCGAGGTCACCGGCTTGGATGGAAGAGATCACGGCGTCACGGCGTTGGTCGATACGATAGTTTAGGTCCCCGTTGAGCTGAGAAACAAGCGTTAAGGTACAGATTCAGTGAAAGGAACGAATTTAACGCACGAAGACGATCTCGTGATCTAGAACCATGGACCCATCTCCCCCACCGACGTACGCAAGAGACTCCTCGATAGCATCCGACGATGGAAACACAGACTTTTCCTCCAACATCGCAGTCACATCTGCATTGCGCTGTCGTACGTGATGCTGCCCAGCAGCAAGATGGCAATTGATGAAACAAATCGAAGAATCTCCAATCACGAATCGCGCGACAATGCCTCCCTGCATACATGCCATCAGCATGCACTCCAATCAAAACAAAAACAAAAACATGCGCACCTTATTACCGTACCTCCCACCCATCCCCCGCTTGATCGTCGTTATCGCTACATTCTTGAGCGCAGCCTTCTCTGAGTTCTTCACGAACATGCATGTAAAAAGCCCGACGAGACTCTCGGTATGTATCACCGTATAGCCCTCCGCAAGCGCGCGAACCTCCCTGACAAGCCGATCATGCCATCGCTTATAACTTGAAGTCACTTTCTCTGATATCTTGCCCTCCTCACCCTTTTTCTTTCCACCTAGTAATACAGTCTTTGCAGCCATCTTCCGGCTTTCGAGGTCGATGAGCTCTTGGAATCCAAAGGAGATGATGTCAGGTGCGGGTGAGACGGATGTGAGAGCGTCGTTTAGGAAGGTAAGGTTTGCCGCATCGTCGGTGAGTGCTTCGGGTTTGGCGGCGTCTACATTCCAGGAAACAACGAGAACGTTGATGGTGCGGAAAGAGCTAAATTCGCGCTCGCGCTTCAAGAGCTCGTTACCTACCCCAGCTCATAAGTTCACATCCGTGATTAAAAAAACACAGCACGCACCAATCCAATCAATCCCCAACAGCCCATCCCAAAACCTCATCTGCTCATCCCTACCAACACTCACCACACTCAACTTCTCCTCTTTCTCAATCGACCACGGATCCACGAATATACGTGTAACTGGTAATCCAGAATGCGCGTTCCATGCGTTCGTTACGACCCAAGGGCGGGACGACACGTCATAGGCGCATATAACGCCCGTGCGTCCACCAGCCCACAAACGCATCCCGACACCTTCGAGACTCAGCACATCCGACGAGCTCACTTTGACTATGTCCGTGCACTCGGGTCCTGCAGGTAAACTCCAGATACTGATAAATCCACCCTCGTGCCCGAGATAAGCGAACCCTGGATGTGATTGGAGGAGCGTGCCGCTTGTTACTGCGCCGACATGGTGGGTGGTGTTCGGAAGGACGCTCGCAGTACGTGCGATGCTGCCTGGGGTAAAGACGTCGTAGATCCTGACTATGGGTACTGTAGTGGGTCCAGAGCCATTGATGTCGCCGCGTACGCTCGTCCAGAGAAGACCCCCGAGCAACTTTACGAATTCTTGTTTTTCTGCGATGCGGTACACCCGTGGGGCGGTATATGTTAGACTTGGGACTTCGGAGCTGGATGTAGCTGTGGGTTCGAATACGAGCACTTTACCGCTTTCGTCCACGCTGACCATCGCATTGCGGTGTCGGAATATATGCGTCACGACACCCGCATGGACACCAAACTTCGACCCTGTCACTTTTCCTGAATCCATATCCAGCTCGATCAAATGCCCTTCCTTCGTCCCAGCCCATACCACACCACCTGCACTGCCAGCCCGAAACTCAAGCGCAGTCACTTTCGCATCGCGCACTCCCATTTCCTTCGTGTCTCCCACCCATACGGGCACATCAGCGTACCGCGCGAGATCGAAGCAGCGTAAGTGGTGATGAGTAGCGACGAGTACGCGTGTACCAGCTGCTACTACTTGGGCTGCGTATGCAGGAACGTGCATCTTTGGAGTGCGTAGGGTGGGTGGACGACGGGATGCACGACTCGCGTCTGGAAGAAGCATGCGAAGGTCATCGCCTCCCTCTTCTCCACCAGATTCTTCGTCTGATGAAGGCGTGTGTGTGCGTCGTGCAGGAGGGAGTTTGTCGCCTGGTGCGATCGTACGTGTTGGTGGAGGTGGGAGTTTACTGCTTCCGAGGGGTTTGCTGCTTCCGAGGGATTTGCGGTCGGAGATGAAGTCCGTCGGTGAGGGTGTGCCTATGATCATGCTGTGGCGTGCAGGGAGGGAAGGAGGGGGTAATATAACGTCTGGGATATCTTCTGGAGTTGGGCGGCGTGAGGGAAGGGGAGGGGGACTGCTGGGGGTAGGAGTTGAGCTGGCTGAGGAGTTGCGGCTGTTTTCGTTTCCAGCCCGTCGTGGAAGGGGAGGAGGGGGGACTGTTAGACTTGGCCGTGAAGGAAGTTTGCGTGGGGGCGAGATGCTTGCTACGCTGTCACTTGAACTGCTGATGCTGTCTGAGTGTCCGCGGGAGTGGCGTCCACGAAGGGTAATTGCCGGTGGCAGTGATATCTCAGAACTCTCACATTCGTCGTCGGAGAAGGGGCTATGTCTTGATGAGCAGTTGGAGCTAGCATTGTCAGGTAAATCATCGCCAGTGCCAAAGAGAACAGAGCGATGAGGCGGGGGTGGAGGAGGAGGACGGCGAAGGGTCCCAGTCATTGGTGGACTGGGTGCAAGAATGTTGGGTTCTGAATGGGATGTGAGATTGTCATTACGCGGAAGAGGTTTAGGTGTTGACTGGGGTGTAGGGTGAATTAATCTACTTCAACGGTATTAGCGCTTCCCTTTCGAATGCAGAGGCAATAACTCACGAGAAACGATTTCTAAGAGAAGCGACACCAGTCATGCGGGGTGATTCGGGCGCGTCAAAATATTCGTCAGACGGAGTATCTTCCGGGCTTAACACTGACTGAGGAGACGATAAAACAGGTCGATGCAGGAGTGGAGGAGTGGAATCGAGGACGTTTGGTTCGCTTTGAGTCAGTAAAAGGGAAAGTCGTGGAGCCGGTTTTATTGAAGCTCGATGAGGAGAAGTCGCTGCGGTTCTAAGAAAGGTAGCACAGGAAAACATTTATGGGGTTCGCGGGCGATGTCATGGCTGGAACACTTACGTGAAACGTTCCCTCAATGAAGCCACTCCACCACCACGAGGAGCATCGTCATCGTACGCGTTGTCTTGGCCAGACACTGACAAATGTTCTGGACTCGCGCGTGGTGATCTGAGAGCAGCTGGTACTGGCACAGGTCTCAACAGCGGGGAAGCAGCAGGTGATTGAATTGGTTTTTTGGCTGAGCGAGATGGCGGGGGCGGTGGTGGTGCACGCTTTTGGCCTGGACTGACATCAGAGTTGGGCAAAGCGTTGCGCAGCTCACGATGTTGTACGTGAGAGTCCGAATCCTTACTACACTGCTGGCGAGGCGATGTAATAATTGGGTTGTTTGATTTGAGTGGCTTGCCAGCTGTATTATCCTGTGCAAGCTGCTCGAATCTGCTCTTTAAGCTCTTGATGGAGGGAGTAGGTGCAGACTCGATTCCAAGTTGATCCTCGGCCATGACGGGTCGCCTGAAATGAATGAATCTTCTCGACGTCCGAGTCCACCACTCTTCGGAACCTTGTTAAGCGTCGTCTTCGAGCGACTGCGCGAAATTAATAAGAGCTACTACTGGCAGTTCGTCGCTGTCGTCGGCGTCGTCGAACTCAGTTCGCGAGTGGGACCACCTTCATGAAAGTACTCAGGTGAATGACTACCATTTTTAGCCGCTCATACCTAAATTTGATTTATCCAGGGAACACTTTCTTTGCTTCGCACAGTCACCAACTGGCAACTAGGCTACAGACACAGAGACAATCCCGGTTACTCGTTTCTCTTCCGGACTGTCAAGATACATATCCCGTGTAGATCTCAATGCCATGGCATCCAACATGTTTTTCGAGCGTCTTTAGTTTGTGGGTGCGGGCGGCCCTTCGAATTCGATGGATCTTATAATGGCAGATAAAGTTCAGCTGTTGAGTTTTACTAGTCTGAACTTGGTTTGAACCGTCTTGCATGCTATCTATTTCGTACTAAATTCATCTTGCTTCGGGGCTTAGGAAATCTGAATCGTCTTCTTTCTACGAACGATTATCTTCTATCCAAATCAATATAAGTCTGTCCCCACACATGCCTGATCCTCCCCCTGTTCGACTGCGGGCCGTACTCAAACGTGTCTTGTACAGTGCTGTAACAACACACCATTTTTTACCTATTTAACAGCCTGAGTATCTCCCTTGGGTACCCAGACGAGTCTTATCCTCCCCTCGTCCCAGTATACCCTACTGCTCTATGTCATCATCTCCTCCAGGAGTCCAGGGTTCCCATATGCACCCATCAGATCAAAATGATTCGAACGACCGTCATGTTCAACAGCTTCATGTCCATTCTGCCATCCCAGACGACAACCTTCAGCATGAAATTCAGGGAAAACTTGAACAGCCAGAGGATGAATGGCATCACGACCCAGTCAACCCCAGAAATTGGTCTCCTGCAAAGAAATGGACAACTACTGCAATCGTTAATTCTTCCGCAAAGATATTTAATCATGAGGACTAATTTTGTTTTTCTGTCAGGTTGGGCTATACACTTTTGTCACTCCGTTAGCAAGTTCTATCATGGCACCTGGTCTGCCAGATCTGGCTACAAAATTCAATATAACCAATCCAACAGTCACAGCGTTGACTCTAAGTATCTTCCTCCTGTCGTTTGCTATCGGTCCTTTATTTGCTGCGCCCTTGTCCGAAGTATACGGCCGTTTGTGGGTTCGTCGTCCTTTTCTCAGTGGAATTGTGTGCCTGAACGAAGTCAAGGTGCTTCACTTGGCGAATCTCTTCTTCCTCGTGTTCAATCTCGGCTGCGCATTATCACGTAACACTACATCTTTCATCGTCTTTCGGTTTCTAGGTACGTCATAGAACCACTGCTGTCACACGTTCGCTTACTCTGCCAAGCTGGTTTCGTGGGGGGTACGCCCGTAGCATGCGGCGGAGGCGTCGTTAGTGACCTCTTCTCCGAAAACGATCGTGCTTCCGCTATGGCACTGTACTTTTTAGGACCCTTGATAGGTGCGCTTCATGGTCTGCCACTTTGACACAAGTTCATACTCATCTCGCAAGGTCCTGTGGTCGGGCCCGTCATGGGAGGCTTTATCGCAGAGTCAGTCGGAATACAGAATGTTTTCTATGTCGTCGTCGCGATCTGCGGTGTTGCTGCCGTACTCGGCATTCTTCTCATGAGAGAATCTTATGCGCCGGTTATTCAGCTTCGCCGTGCAAAAATATTTCCAGATCTCGAAAAGGCAGTTACAACACATCCTGCTTTCGTCACAAACAAATGGGCTTATTTGTGGATTAATCTCAAACGACCCATCATAATTATGACTAGGAGTTTTATATGTTTCATCCTGAGCTTATACATGGCTCTGTAAGTTGGTTTTATTATCACACGGCTAACTGATGTCATTTATGTAGGATATACGGTTAGTAATAGCACATCATGTAGGTCATTGAACCTGAAACCGTGATTCAGGTATCTACTACTTGATGTTTACCACTTTCCCCGGTAAGATCACATACGCCTAGTAACACGGGAAAAATATTAAATGCTTACACCCAGACCTCTTTACGACTGTGTACCACTTCAATACTGGAACCGGAGGTCTACCGTATATCGGCATTGGCGTTGGGTTCTTATCTGGCGTCATATTTGGCTCGAGAATATGCAACAAGACATATTTATACGTACGTCAAGATGCGTTCTAACCTTACTGCGTTAGCTCAAGCGCTTCTATTATCTAGTTTGCTGCGCAAAATGGAGGAAAGGGTAAGCCAGAGATGCGCGTGCCTGTTCTGATACTCGGCTCGTTTATCGTCCCAGTGGGACTATTGTAAGATTGACACTTCCATTTCTGTCGGTCCTAGCCTGATCTACGTTAGTTGGTATGGGTGGTCTGCCCAAGCTAAGGTCCAATTCATGATGCCCATCGTCGGCACCGCTATCTTTGGATTCGGCATAATGATAGCTTCGTAAGCGTGCCCCTTTAACATCATTCATGATTAATTGATTGCTAAACCTCTTTGAAGTCTCGCCATTCAACTATACCTGGTTGATACATTTACATATGCTGCAAGCGCCGTCGCAGCTGCTTCTGTGAGTCTTCCCACCCTTACTCTTACCTTTGCTTTGAATCTCGTCGTTCATGCGTACTGAGCATCTCACGATCTTAGATGCTCCGCTCACTCCTCGGGTTCGCATTTCCTCTCTTTGGACAGCAGATGTTCGCTAGGCTTGGTTATGGAGGGGGCAATTCACTTCTTGCAGGTCTTGCCATCGTCATCGGTATACCCTTCCCCGTTTGGATATATTATGCTGGTGAAAGTATGCGTGCGAGGAGTTCTCTAACTCGTTGATTCTGATTTTGATCTCTTCTGTATCATTTGATCTCTCTCTCTCTCTCTTCGATGCAATACAGTGTACGACCGATTACCTGAGGCAGGTGACGCCGTTGATAACGCGCGGCTAAGAAATGAAGCGTCACTCATCCAGTACACTGTTCACCTGCTACTACTTTCGGACGCGTGTCATAGTATGGGTGTACAAGAATTAGCTGCAAGGAGTAAACTAAATTTACATAAAGTGTACGTCTGATTTTTGGATCATGACTGAGCGCTGAACTATGATGTTCCTTGTCAATGAGCAACAAAATGTCCAGCAATGTCTTGAATCTTTCTACTGCCGCGTGACCCTAACTCTAACTATCCCGAAGTTCAAACATCAAACAGTCAAGGCCGCAGACCTGTAAATAACTTTAAGCTTTTTTGAAAAAAAATCCAAGTTTTTCAGAGTAGTACCCTGTGTAAGACATTACGGTCAAGTCGTGGGGACTGCTTGTGCCCCTGCACTTTAGATTCCTGAATGCCCCGATGGCCTCCACCGGTCCGCCGTTCCCGCCGCGCGTTTTAGCCAGGCAATCTAACGAAGGAGAGGTGACTTTTAGCGTGCGGTATGTGCAACTGGATCATCTAGACGCGTTCTCGGCCGCCGAAGTGAAACTTCAAGCTTGATGCATTAATACCCAATGATGCGACCATCAGTTCATTAAGGCTGGCCATCACTTCTGGGGGGGCATCACAAAATCGGCGAAAGGTGTTCATATCCGACCGGGAAACTTGCCGAGTGACAAAAAAGGAAATTGATAAAATAGCAGGCTCGGATATTGCACAACGACGTCGAACTCATCTACCTCTTTCTTCCTTCCATCAGTCTGCCTACTGGAGACCAGACTCTGTGATATATTCAGTACACTAGTTGTTCGGAATGTCATCAGAATCAGCTTTGAGACTTCCCCGACTCACGCATGTCGCAAATGTTCTAGTCCCAAGTACGACTTCCAGTGCATTTTGTGTATTGCACATGATGTGTGCGTGCTATCATATAAAATTGTACTGAATTTCCCAGACAAACTTGGTGTGCACTCTCGCCGGGCCATGCCACGTTCGGGAGCAAGAGGGACTTTTAGGTGAGACTTGTTTGTGCAGCAGTCCATGATGTCGGTGCTGAATTGAATGCTGATACTGACTCATCTTGCATTTGGTACACGTTCAGACTCCCAGTGAGCTCAGTGCTCTACAAATAATTCAAAGCCTCCGTGAAACTAGCGCGCTTTCCATGCATCTCTTGGCACGTCATTCTATATCAGGAGCAGTATACGATTTCACTAGAACAATTCATTGCGGCCGTGCACAATGACCATTGACATCTATTGCATCATTTTCAGGTTTGGGAAAGGCTCACAGCGATCAGGTGCGGGTATCGACACAGTCTGGACTCACTACCTTAGGCCTCATTTCCCAGTTCTTCGAAACAGACCCTAAGCCCTTTGCCTCGTTTGCGCTTTGTCACCGAATCATCGTATCAAATTTAGATATATTGGCGAATTCCTCGGTGAGCAATGCACGGGCGCAAAACCTAAGAAGCATGCAAAAGGAGGGTGTTATGATTTCTATGGAAGGGTGCCTCCTCGACGAATCGTACTCTAGATCGGAAGCGACTAATCTGATCACTCAAACAATAGCAGTGAACAGCAGGTGTAAAGAAGTTCTGGGACGTCACACACTTTGTATAATGATGTCACTGGCACGAGGAACCACAGGTGGCCGAGTGTATTTGCTGACGCTGTTACTTTACATCACGTGACCGGCGCGTCCTAGACGCGTCGAATGTCGACAACCAAATAATGTCAGCCGCCGTGCTGTATTATATAAACATCTTCAGTCCCGTTTCACTCTCTCATTCGCTTCTTCTTCTTCTTTTCTCTCATCTTCACAGCTCCTGGTCTTCCTGCCTCATTCCGGATGTTCCAGCAAGATATGTGGCGTGCGACTTGGAAGTATATGGCATCCTAATGCAATCATGATGGTATCCTTGTCATTTCCGCCACCAGCATTGGTTCTGCCCGTTTGACGCCACATGGTATGTTTCATGCTCATAGTGCTCCGTATATGCCAGACTACTGACTTTCTCTCAAATGCGCTTAGGTCTGACGGCGAGCTTCCACAGGACATAAAATGTATGCCTTGTTCTCGCCACATTCTTATCTGCCTTCCTAATCGACATCAGCCGCTCAGGTGTTGAAGGCAAACCTCCAATATTCAAGGACGCGAAAAGACATCATAATGGAACAATATAACACAGCTGCTGCCCTTCCTGGGCGTCGCTCGCGGCGTGGACGGCACAGTAGACAGGACCTGAGTCCATCCGACCCTCTTCGAGCGCGTTTGGTGGCCACATTCGCCGAGGCTCTCGGATGTCGACTTCTCTCCACCCTCTGCCTCCTCAGCATCTCCCCGGTCGGTTGTACTGGCCCGCACCATGGTCTAGGCACCCCGGTCCTCGTCAACTCTCGCAGTTCGTAAGTTCGAGGGCGAGATGAGAGGGTATGTTGCACTTTGATCTTCTAGCCCGCCGCTGACATCACGTCCTTTTCAGGGCATCGGTGGTTGCCGTCATCCAGGTCGGGACCTAGTGGTGGCTCGGGCGTGGAATGTTGGCCCTGTTCTGCAGGCGTTGCTAGCTTCCACCCCGTTCGCTCCTCAGTGCCCGCCGGGTCCGGGGTGGCATCGTCACATTTAGTCTGCTTCCTCGGCGCCAATGGGCTCAAAGCCGAGGTCGTCAGCGCGGGTAAGTCCACCCCGGTTGAACAAAAGAAAAACAAACTTGATACATTGACAACAAAAACACATGCTGGACAAGAGGAGAAAGGACCGTCGCGACCCAGGATATGGGGAAAGGTGAGTAGCTCTATTTCCTCGCGTTTATGGTTGTCTTCGAGAGTGGCAGCATCAGCTCGAGACGCCATGCGTTATTAGATTGATATGATCATCATTCAATGACGTATGGAGTCTCGGTCAGCTGGTCTAACGCCCGACGGTTTGTTCCTCTGAAGTGTTTTAGGACTTGCAGCTACCGCAACTACAGAGCACGCTGTAATCACCGGACCAAGCGCATTGTGAAGAGAGGCGGCAGCAGATCTGCATACAGAACACGCATGGATCTTGGGATGATTAGTGGGAACACATACTTGAAACATTCCTTAATAAAGTGAGTCTACCTCCACGAGGAGCATCGTCCTCATTGTCTCGGAACGCAGAGTTGAGCACGATGACGGTGACGGTGGAGGTGCTTTGGCCAGGACGAGTATGATGAGGCATTCTGCAGCTCACGATTATGTGCACGTCACGAGCTGTCTGGTCATTAATACGCTGGCGAGGTGATTGATTCTATGCTGTCAAAAGTGGAGAAGTACTAGCTTGAATAGAAACACTAGGAATAGGTTTAATTGCAGGCTAATACTCAGCCATAATGATCCCCAAGTGTTGCGTTGTAACGCGTCGAGAACGCCTGCCTGTGTAGCTTCATCACCAGAAGGACCAGTGCTTTGCCCTGAACACGGTTAACTTTGTCCATGGACGACGGGGTGACAGATGTCTTCATTGTTTGTCGAGATCTCATCAAAGCCGAGAGTGTTGGTGTGTAAGAGTAGATGTAGATATCCTCTAGGCATAGTTCGCCCCCGGAGCGATCTGCATTCGTTCGAAAGAGGTGAGCTTCATGGAGAGTGAATACTGCTGTCGGATACAGCCATATTTGGGACCGGCGCCATAATTTTAAGCCATGCTGGAAGACATGAACGATGGGTATCATGACCTCGTCCCATCCCTGAATACTTATCATACGAGATGAGTGCCGTATCGCCCTGGCGAAGTTGTCCTTGACCATGTCAAGATCTGCGAGAGTGAGAGACGCAAAAGGGAGATAGTGGGCATTTCCTGATGTCGGAACAATGATGGAGTTAAACAACACTCCAACGAGGCAGAGGAAGACGCAGAAAAGTACTGCGCATGACATTTTTGGGGTGTATCGGAGCCGCATTGTTCAAGCTATTTGAAATTTGAGGGTAGATAGACTTTACGAATTTCACGAGAACTCCCCTCGGATCCTCGGCTACCGTGTGAGATATTAATCCCAGCCACCCAGGCTGCCCACCAAGCCCCAATGATCTCACCTTCAAATGGCAAGCACCCCGTCACCCTAACGTTACAACCCTCGAATAACCGACACGTTCATCGTGTTTTCTGACCTGTTATACACTGGCAAGAAGTACTTGATCGATTGCTACGTCACCTCTACCACGGATGACAAACTGCCATCCCTTCTTTTCAAAACTCGGCAGTTCGCCAACTGTCCACAGCGTCTGAATGAATATGAGACCGTGCTGAAATACTGCAAGGGAAGTTTGCAGGAAACCTGAAGCAACAAAACTGTTAGTAACAAGGGGATAGAATAACACGAAGAAAGTCAAGTACCGGACCAATCCTGGGATGAATTCGGGAGTAAAACTGATCACTTTGCCCTGGTCATCTTTTGCAGGAGAAATATCCAACGTGGCTAACATGGTTGCAATGGCAGCCCACGCGGAGGAATCAGCACTATACCGCCCTGATCAAAGCCTATCTGTCGGTGGATCTTTTATGGGATTAGAATAAGTTAACGAACCTGGACATGCACGCCGGCCAAGGCCGAAGATGTATTGTGCAGGGTCATCACTTGTCAACGCACCATCGCTATCAATGAACCTCTCTGGTATAAAATTAGATGCGTCGGGGTACCGTTTTTCATCCCGTGTAATGGCCCTACGATCAAGTCAGTACCACGAAAGCTGGGAGGAACATATCAGACCATGTGTTGTATGTGATGATTGCGCCTGATGCACGATATTATAAATAATTATTGCGTTGATTCTGGGACAAAAACAGCGGACCTTTTGGAATGAAGTACCCATCGTATACGTCATCACTTGAAGCGGCATGTGCTACGCCTATGAGGTCGTCTTCAGCACAGGCCAGATTATTTGGTGGGGAAGAATACCAAGAGGCGCAACAGGCTGCCATCGCCAAGTCTCTCGCAGGACTGCTTCGATGTAGGGTAGCGATGCTCTGTCCTCGAACGTTGGCAGCCGTTCTTTTCCAATCACTGAGTCGATTTCCGCTTGTGCGCGTTTCTGAACTTCAGGATATAATACCATGGCCAGGAAAAAAACCATCAAAGATGCTGCACTCTGTGACGAGGATAAGCAGCGGACAACACGATGGAGCTGTCCATTTACCGACTCATATGAAGCTGTGCGATATTAGTGTATGTCGAGAGTACAACGTTGCTCGTTAAAAGGCTGACTCACCTATAATAGCAGTAGTAGCTGCTTTCTTCAACGCATTCTCGAATGCAGGTTTGAATGCCTCCTCTTGCGTCTCCATCCGTTGCAAATTTTCTGCAACCATCGAAGATTGAGCGAGCGACGACCCGTCGGCCTTGCCACGAGCTGAGTCAATGTCTAAAACCAAGAGAAAGATGAGCACCCACCATGTGCTGCTGCACATATCGAAACGGCATATCGGCCATTTCATTGATGCGCTCCGTCGAACCTCGAGCACTACGCTTGATCGAGGATCCCCAGCACCAGTCAGGTACCTTTAGTACTACATTTCACAAAAGTGCGTGTCATATTAACGCTATCTCATCCAGGACAGTTGAGCTCACAGAAGGGAAAGGTTTTGAGCATTAATGCTCTCTCTGGGGACAACACGGTCAAGCCTGGAACCAGTGCCTTTATCACGGTCTGCACCATAGGATCATCACGAGCACTGATATTGTAGTCGTATACTGTTGACATCACAACAGATAACGAGAATCTGTGAACAGGTAAATAATGGTTCAATTCGTAAAAAAAATCATTCGCTAACGTTGCGAAGTGGTCGTAATAATTTTCAGGGTCATCGACCAGGTTGACGATAATCTCACGAGCCCGCTTGATTTGCATTGGGCGAAATTTTGCTGCAGACTCGGGGCGAAAAGTTTGGTGGAAAAGTCGTCTGCAGAGACGCCATTCATCGCCATAAGCTATGAATCCAAAGTCGATCGACAAACCATATCTGCGAGAACCTTAGACTAGTTGAATAAAGGAATACTGAACGAACCCACGGCTCGAGTGTTGCTAGGTATGGTCGATCGGAGTAAATCCGAGAACGCTTGTCCAGTAAGGCTTCTGCGATGTGCTGAGAATTGATCACGACCATTTCCTCGTCTAGACTTCGCACGAAGACCAAGTCCCCTAAGATAATGATTCACACCACGTATGCCCTATGCTATCTGTTCACGTACCATACACAGCACCCCACTCGGTGTAAGTCAGCCAAGGCTCGTAAGCGTCGATAGATAAGACGCTCCCCAACAGTGGGAGGGGCACTGGGCCAGGAGGAAGAGGAGCATTATTCTGTCGCTTTTTGATGAACCCCTTGAGTGCCTTGACGGCGACAAAGGAAAGAGAAATGCCAGCGAGGATAGCAAGGTGACGATCAACTGTAAGGGCCATGATTCGAGCAGTGGTTTAGTAAACTGTAATAAAGACCATCCTTATAACCACGGGGAAGTGGGGTAATCACGGGGATCGGCACCGGTGGCGGCGGCAATGGGAGTTATATTTGGACAAGAGTAGATCTGGATGCGGTACCGGTGAAGGACTGGAAAGAATGGGAATTTCGAGACAATTTCATCTACTTGAGGAATCAATTCAAAGATACAAAAACACTATAAAAGAAAGCATACCTCAAATACTTTGAGCGTCCAGGTGATCGTCGAATTTGGACCGTCAGCAGGAAGACAACACTCGAAGGACTCATTTATCACCTGAGGTATTATGGCCGCTCACCTCTTTGTCCCGCTTCCTGGATAAAACAAGCCTATTCTCGTCTTTCTCGACCTCTGACAGCAAGGTCCATATCATATCCAGAGACCAGTGGGCATCGGAAATAGGAGGGGGCAGCGGATCCTTCTTTCTTATGACACGAGAATCAATAATCCACCGACACAGGAATAGTATTGGGGCATAAGCATAAGCGCGGATAAGCATAAACCGTAAGCTCCCAGGTGAGAGCGACCCTATCAAATAATGTGATCATCGGCAGAAGAATTTCGTAAAATCGTCCTAACAAACCTCAGCTTCAAGTTGGATTACATCATCCAGAAAATAAGGAATTTGGGCAGACTGCATGCAAACTCTGTGACTAGCACACGCTGTGAAGTTACCTCGAGTATGTGTTCCCTGAGTCACGTCCGAAATACGACCTAGTCATCCACCGTGCGTTCAGGGTCATCCGCAAGACACAAATTCGCAAGTTCCCGATTTTTTGACATCGCGAGGGTCTCATGTTATGATGATGCGGTGTTGAGAAGCCAGTTCTCTTGTCGTGGCATTGAAACGGCATCCACTTTTAGCCATCTATCGAACGACCTTCCCTTTCTCAGGAGCTTGCCATCTTTGTAACGAAGAGACCCAGGCGAGGACAAATATGAATGATTCGGCGTCGCGCTAATACAGGTACTTGACCTTGCCTTCGATGACCGTCTCCGTAATACCACTGAGAAGGCCAAGCGCCATGAAGGGTATTGTCCTTGCACACTCCTGGTATTGAGGAATATCCCGAGTCGATGGTAAGTCGAAGTTGCTGAAGACGTCAGTCACTCGACCGCCCGAGATCCGGTATACTACTAGATTGCTAAAGTTGGCGTTGCTGTCACGGACACCGTTTTTCCAGAGGGTATGATGGCCTATTGTCGTTATAGTAATGCACAATAAACAGCACAAGGAAGAACGACATACAGACAACAGTTTGCCACTATGCGCTGATGAACTCGTTTCCGCTCAGCTTTGTGATTGAAAGAAGCAGCTTTCTGGATACAATAAAGTATGCGATGCTGACTCGGGCCCGTTGAGCATCTTCCATCTCTGAGACCCTCTTGTTTTTCGACATAAATGCACTTTCGCAATGAAGGTTTTTTTCCGGAGTATTGCTCCACCAAGGCATCTCCAGCCTGAGTGAGTATCGGACATGATGAGGTATTGATTAGTATTCCCTGACTCTGCAAAGTAGAACGTTTATCTTGCCTTGCCTGCCCAGCTTCTTCTACATATTAGATTTCATCCAGAAAGGTCTCTTGAGTCTGCACAGTTTCCTTCGTAGCACATACACCGCGCTGATGCGTGTATATACTATTCCACGGAAAACTATAATTTAGATGTTGTCTTTAACTGAGCCACGTACCGTGTCAATAACTCCCTGGGATATGATACTATCAGCATAAACCTCTGCAATGGCCTAGCATCTTCATTGTTTTTGCTGCATGCGAGGTATCAGAGAGGGCAGATGATTGATTCACGCAGAGGACTGTAAGCGTCCAGTGATAGTATGGGTATTCGAACTCAGACTTATGTGTGCAGGTCATGTGATCGCGTAATTCACGAAAGCCCAACTATCAGTCCCGCGAGAGATGATTCAAAGCTGCCGGTACAATTAACGAAGTACCCTCTCGTTGGGGAAATGACGGCGGGCGAGGGTGGGTACAGTTAGTAAAGCTTGATGCATGAGGTCATCAAACTTGAATATGCTGACGAATAACATAAGCCAACGACACTAAAAACAAGGTAATACATGATTTCACCCCCCGCACAGCTCTCAACATTGCATTTTGATCAACTGCGATACTTTTTCCTTCGTGTGGCGAGGGGCGAATATGCACGGGAATACAGGGTGCCTGCATCGCCTGGCTCAGATACACTGCAGGGATCCCCAAGGATGACTCACGTCGTTAAGCCTCCCGTCCATTTCACTCCTTCAGCATCAGGCCCGACATTCCATCCTGGTGCACATTCCAACCGGAAAACAGTTAGAATATTCACAACTGCAGCGAATAAAGAAGCCTCGGCAACATGTCGTCCAACACTGCTGAAAGGTGAGGCAAACCCGTCTATTCGCAAAACTCTAAACTTCGTACCAAATACGCCTTCCAAATCCAAAAACAAAGGAAATATCATCACTGGCAGGGTCGTGTGTTGACAGCTCTTCGACGACGACTTTTGACATGTGACGCTCGGGTATGAACCTCGTTGAGTTAGGATATTTATCCGGATTGCGCGCCATAGACCTTGCATAAGAAGAAATGGTTATGTCTGATCTTTGTTCACTTGGTATGATGAATCACCATGCGTTAGCTATTACGGTAGCCCCTTGAGAAACAGTTTTAGAAGGGGATAAGGTTTTCAGTCCATAGACTGACCTTTGGGAATATAGTAACCTTCGTAGATATCGTCATTTACCGTGGCATGTGCAATTCCTAAATCCAGTCAGTGACCGTGCTAACCGGAGTTCGATGAGTCAATAGTGCTGACCCAGAGGGACGACAGGGAACCACCTCAGCGTCTCCTGTATGACAGCATTGATGTAGGGCATAGAAGCACGATCACCCCAGTCGGGCAATCTTTCGAGAGTTTCTCCAACGACGGAATCAATCTCTGCTTGCGCACGTATTTGCACCTCGGGATATAGAACCATCGCGAGCAGGAAGACGTATAAAGTGGACGTCGTCTGGGTCTTTGGTCAGTATATAAATAAAATAAGAATCGCGTCAAAGTATACAGTTTCTGAGGCGGCTGGGAGTACGGAGAAAATGAGTAGAGATGCGTCAAAAACACAATGACCATTGCAGATTTGTCACGAACCAGCATAACCAGATGCACTGGATTCCTTAATCCCTTTCTCAAGAACAGCGGCCTCCCCTTCATCTTGTGTTTTGACTGGTATACGTTTCAATGCATCCGACACCACGGATGGTGCAGCCGTCCCCGCCGCCTGAGGATCATCATGAGCCTAACCTAAATGATACTCCGATCAAAAGGCACTTGAAACTTGCCATGCTGTTCTTCACATGTTCAAAGGGCATGTCCATAATCATGGGAACGAGGGTTCTCTGGACTATAGCATCCCTTACAAAGCTCGCTCCAGGGAACCAAGGAGGAAGTTTTTTCACTTTGAGTGCATTAGAATAGAACTACAACTGATCGAAGTTATACGCACATATGGGGAACTCTGCTATGACAGCTGCAACTTCGGGCCTGAGTACTTTTACATCTATCTCAAGTGAGCGTTCAATGAGCGCAAGAAAGGGATCATCAACGGGCGCTGTAGAATAATCATACAAAATTGACATGATGATAGACGTGCTGAAGCTATGTAGAAAAGATGGTTCAGCCACGCAATACATGGAAGGAGAGATGCGACTAACGTGTGGAAATGGGTTCCATACACCTCCGGAGAGGCCAGTAAGTTTCGTATCAAATTGTGAGCATTGCGCATTTGAACCGGACGGAAGGATGACACTGCTTCTAAATGGAATGCTTCATGGAAGATTCGCCTGTCTGTAAAGACATGATAAGTGCGATAAGAGAACTCGAAGGGACAATATACTAACGAAGTCTCAACTTGTCTGAGTAGGGTAGAAAGACAGTGGAGTAGTCGTGACAAAAACTGGGACTCGTCTAACAATAGGAACATCAAACGATAGAAGGGCCTCACAAGCCAAGAACATGCACAAGCCCTGGGGGTCTCGTGGAATAGTTGTGTGAACGACGATCGAGCAAGTCATGCGCAACTCTTTCGGAGTTGATGATCACGATATCCTGACTAAAGAGTCGGGAGTAAACGATTTCACCTGCATCGCAATTCAGCACATCCAGATCCACATGTGGGTGGCTCTACGCACCATACTCAGTTCCCCATCTTGTGTATGCTAACCACGGATGATCTGGGTCGATTCCGATCACATTTCCAACAAAAGGGAGAGGTGGAGGACCAGGGGGTAAAGGATGCTTCTTAGTGTCTCTCTTCTTTTGCAAAGATTGCACTACTACAAGAGATATAAGCGCTATGAGGGCGAGTGCAAGTACTAGTGTTGGGGCCATCGCTCGAACCAAATAGATAACTGAAGCTCTTAGCTCCCTCGTATATGTGTCTGGACTTTGTGCGGCCGGCGACCCCATTAAATTATTAATGCTGTGGGGCTATGTCGTCCCCGAAAATTTTGGACAAGTGTCGATTCTTGACGGCCCCGAACCCCTTGAACAGTGTCGTGGAAGCACAGCTTGGCTTCAGTCTGTGGAGATCGATTGTGTTGGACCTGTACATCTGTACGGCTAGACTGTACACCATCCCATACGGCCGTCAGCGGTATTGCCTTTACGGTCGGCAGTAGCCGGTGTAACCTGCCCTGAACTGCCATGCTGTGCAGGTGACCGACAGCAGCAACGACTTAGTCTGCGCTTCAGCCTTTTAACATCCAACACCGTTTGTCACAATAAGTTATTGATATCGTCTTGCAGCTTTCATAGAAGCCTATCCACGTGCGACAAGCAGCCAGATTAGCTGGACACTGGCGGCGTTCCTAATCATATAGGGCTGTTATAGAACGCCGCGGGTGACATGAAAGATCGTCTAGGACCCTAGGTGCTCCACTTCCTGATTTGCGTCATGAATGTGAACACTCGGCTTTGTTCGTGGCAGAAAACGTTACCTCGTCAATTTCAATAACGATGTCACCTCGATTGGCATGCGAGCACTTCAAGCTGCAGGGTGAGCGAGTACTGATCAATCATCGACTCCCTCTCCTGTAGGTCATGCACTGCCATGACAGTGACTATTTCGGTTGCAACCCCGGCCGATATCTACGATACTCATGAGCGAGCCCGTCTCGACGATATCGTGAACATATTGGCTTTCGGGCCTCCGGCTTGACGCGCAAGTCACAGACGTATTTATGTAATGCGGCACATGCAATACTGGGTGCCTCTGACATGATGCATGATGAGCCAGCCAATGATAAAGCTACAGTGACGGCTATACCTGGGTGCTACATAATAGGAGGTGCCGCGTGACTGTCAACTGATCAGGTTCTCGTGGACTATCGTTGTAGGCCTTATCGATTAGCTAGCCAACAAGCCAGTCAGCAACTGCCTCATTGGAATGACTTCACACAATATAACGAACTGCATCTTTTATTCGAGTCATTCCCTCACATCACCATGATTGCGCAGCAGAATGACGAGGAGACACCTCTTCTGCAACGACCAGAGCAGCCAAAGGCCAAGACACCTCTTCCATGGGATCAAATTTGGATTCTGCTGCTCTTGGAGATGCCAGAACTTCTTTCTTCTCGGACCCTTGCGCCGTTTATTCCTCAAGTGAGAATATTCTGTTTGCTTGGACTTATATCTAACCACAACTGGACTTTGTCAAGCTCATCAGAGACATCGGAGTCACTCACGGAGACGAATCCCAGGTTGGACACTATACCGGCATCCTTGTAAGCATGTCTTCATCGTTTTTCCCCTTTCGTTCGTCCATGATACTATCCTCTCCAGGAATCATCGTACTATGCAGCTCATACCCTGACTATTTTTTATTGGAGTCAACTATCCGACCACATCGGACGGAAGCCTGTGATATTGACAGCCCTGTTAGCAATCTCTATATCGATGTTTTCGTTTGGGCTGTCGAAGACCTTCTTCGCTCTGGTGGTCAGGTCAGTGTGTTCTAGTAGCTGTGACCATCAATTCCTGACATTCTCGACCAGTCGTGTTGTCTGTGGAGCATTTGATGCGAGCGATAGTATGGCCAAGAGCAACCTGATGGACATCACTGACGCAACCAATATGCCCAAGGCATACAGTTATGTACCAATTCCGTGGACGATCGCAGGCACAGTTGGGCAGGTATACAGTACATTATCTCTCGCACTTGAGGTTGACGGCATTTAGATCACTCATTGGGGGATCACTTTCCCGACCAGCAGACAGATTCCCTGACATTTTTGGGCGATCAGAACTCCTGAAAACCTACCCATATCTCCTGCCGTGCTCTATTTCGGCATTTTTGATATCGACAATGTGGCTAGTCACGTATATCCGTCTTAAAGAGGTGAGCGCGATGCTAAAAACCCATCTCTGGATCACACTAAGTGTGGTTACAAGAGCGTTTCTACCAAGACACCGCTTTGGGAACTCATTAAAGGAGGTTTCTCCGGACAGTCATACTCAAAACCTCGCCAGCCATTGAGCAATGTTATAGTTGATCCTGGCGAAGTCAAATCAAAACCGCTTCCGCTGCGTGCTTTACTAACCTCGAAAGTGTTGAGCGTAACAGCGAGTTATGCCACCACAGGCCTGTTTCAAATGGGGTTCAATTCGGTCTTACCTGTTTTCTATGCAACATCGATCGAACTTGGTGGTCTTTCCCTTGACCCTCCTCGCATCGGTGCTTTACTTGCGGCATCAAGTGCCATGCATGGAATATTTCAGCTACTTTTCTACACTCGTTTAAATGATCGCTTCGGTGCAAGAGCTATCCATATCACCGGCGTCAGCTCCTGCGTACCCATGGTCATTTTATTCCCAGTTACCAATGCTTTGGCTCGAGCCTATGGAATAGGCATGGCGGTGTGGCTGTGTGTTGTCGTCCAGCTTATGCTGAGGATTAACCTGATCATGTGCTTCCGTATGTTAATCCAGCACTTCCTGCGTTCTGTTGAACTAAGAAGCCATAGCCTGCATAACATTATTCGTTAGAGCAGCTGCTCCCAATCGCGCCTCTCTTGGAGCAACCAACGGAATTGCTCAAGTGGCTGTCGCGGCAGCAAGAATCATCGGCCCGGCGTCTGCAGCTTCGGTCTTCTCTTATTCATTGCAGGAAGGGCATGATGCATGGTCGATATACTACTTCTTGACCGCAATCGTATTTCTCGCTGTAGGTACTGCTTCATTGCTTCCCCGTGATCCTAGTGTATGGGATCATGATGATTCCCAATAGCGATCGACCGCGTGTTATGATCTAGTGTACTAGGAGCAAAAATTTAGGCTATGTAGACTAGTAGTATGTGTACAACATTAATTCCCTACTCCCATGATAAGTTAGGGAGGGTTCTGTCTGCAGCAAACTTTCGTGCTGTTATCTACAAATCCATCTGTAGGAAACTGGATGTATGACATAATGGTTCCCACAGGATTTTTGCTGCAAATGGAACCCGGACTGGTCGTCTGGAATCTTGCATTTGGTACACGTTCACATGGGACACACGTCGCTGCGACGTGGGGAAATCATGAACAAGCTGGGTCAAGGGCAAAAAACTGTCAATACTTGTCCCACAAGAACCACGACACAACAATATCCCCAAAAGACGCACCTTCAACTTCGAATGCTACTGACCTTCAATTCATCTGTCCAGGTCAATACGTCATGCCAAGGTTATTTGACATAGCAAGAAATGCACTGCGGCGAGAGCCACCGGCGCCGTCGGGGCAGGGGCAACTGACACCATCGCGAACTATACCAGGACACACGGACACTGTGTGCGCAGTTGCATTCTTCAAGGATGGCCGAAGGGCTGTCACTGGTTCAACAGATTGCACCCTGCAGATCTGGGATATGCAGACAGGAGTATTAGTGGAAGAGCCATTCAAGGGGCACAAGGATGGGGTGCTGTCGGTGGCAGTATCTCCAGATGACAGGAGAATTGTCAGCGGTGGATGGGATAAGAATGTTATGATTTGGGACGTCGAGAGGAGGTACATGCCCCATCTACTAGTCCGCCATACAGCCACCGTGAACTCGGTGTGCTTCTCCCCCGACGGCAAAAAAATTGCAAGCGGGTCAGATGATGAAACTGTTATTATATGGGATGCCGATGTTTATACTTTCCTCGCGATACTTCCTCATAGCGGTTATGTGCACAGTGTCGCATTCAGCCCAAATAGTCTCAAGTTAGCCACTGGATCAGGGGACAGCATCATCCGGGTTTGGCACGTCAAAAATGCCGAAATTCTTTTCAAGATCAACGCGCACAAATGGTCAATTCGAAGCGTTATGTGGTCACCTGACGGCCAACAACTTATCTCAGCATCATGCGACAGAACAGTCAAGTTCTGGAACTCGTCAGACGGAAGCCAGATTGGTCAACCCTGCATCGGTCACGCTGATTCAATCGTCTCGCTCGCCGTATCTTCTGATGGTTCCTTCATTGCCACTGCCTCGGATGACAAGACGGTGCGGCTATGGAGCACAGAGACATACCAGCAGATAGGACGGTCACTCGAACACCCCGCCTGGGTTCCATTTGTTGCAATTTGTCCTAATACGGAGCTGCTCGTTAGTGCAAATGGCGCAGAGGTGCTGCTCTGGTCCATCGAGAGAATATCAGTTTACGCAAAAATTGGGCTGCGTCTCCCAAGCAAAAAGTCTGCGCCAAAGGTGCGGGTGATATCCGTCATTATTCTAGCCATCGTGCTGATTCATGCTCCTCAAGTTGGATGATGCACCCGACTCACAGATACCACGTAAGCCCACATAACTCGCGTGCCAAATCGAAGATGACTTACTCTTTTTCCAGAGCTGCCTCAACAATACATCAGTCTATCCGAAGCTGATCACGCTATTCAACAAGCCATTGTCGCTCAACTGGACAATGCCCCGCTTCGTCTAATCAACACGTCTACTGGACGGTTATGCGACAGAGGCGCACAGATCAACGCCTTCATGAGAAGCATGGAGTACAAGGAGTTGTCATCATCAATGACGCATCTATCCGTCCAAACGGAGCCTATCAGAGAAGTGATCACAAAGTACTTCAGCTGGGTCATGTTATCACATACATGGAACAACGAAGAGCCGCTGCTGCGCGACGTCCAGGACAACGACGTGTACACGTTGAATCCAATTGGTGTGGTGAAATTGCAGAAGTTCTGCAAACTTGCTCACGATCTGGGGTACCGCTGGGCATGGGTCGACACATGCTGCATCGACCAAAGCAACAATGTTGAGCTCCAACAATCAGTCAACTCCATGTTCGTTTGGTATCGTCGCTCTGCACTCACAGTCGTCTATCTATCGGATGTTCTGTCTTCGTCACAGCCTGGCGCGCTCGCACGCAGCCTTTGGAACGTGCGAGGATGGACTATTCAGGAGCTCCTCGCTCCTAAGATTCTTCTATTTTACCAAGCAGACTGGACCCCATATCTCAACATCCGATCATCTAATCACAAGGGCTCTGTTACTATCATGCAGGAGTTGGAAGATTCAACTGGCATAAATGCACAGGCACTCGTCGCCTTCTACCCGGGGATGAGAGATGCCCGCGAGAAACTCCAATGGGCGTCGTGCCGTGTCACCACGTTGCAGGAAGACATCGCATACTCATTGTTTGGCATCTTTGGCGTCCACCTCCCAGTAATCTATGGTGAGAAGAAACAAAATGCGCTGGGACGACTCTTGCAGGAGATCATAGCTCGGTCAGGCGACATTTCTGCTCTTGACTGGATTGGACAATCATCCGAGTTCAATAGCTGTCTCCCGGCTGACATTACATCGTACACAGCTCCGTCATGCACCCTACCATCTCTATCTGAAGACGATATCCAAAAATCGGTCTCCACGCTACGAGATGTCGTAGCTATGGAGTGGGTTTCGAAACTGTATACCCTCCTTGATAACCTCAGCGCTCCTCGTTTCGCAAACTCCAGACTGCAATTGCCATGCATCACGTTTCCCGTCACAGAGATCAGACGGAATAATGATGCCGGATTTTTCACTTATAATGTCAAGGCAGACGGTCTTCAAGACTTGCTGATCACCACAGAGGACAGACTGGTTCAGTTCTCACCCACAAGGCGTACTAGACAGTCGTTCTTACTCATCCGTCCATGGAATCGTTATGATCTCGAGCTGCCTGACTTTGATGATCTCAACTTTGATGATCTCGAGGCATTAGGGTCCGAGTCTGGGTCTTCATCAGAACCTGATATGCGAGACCTGAGGTTGATCGTTCGCCTTGGGCAGCCTTTTGGTGCACTTCTCCTGGTGCAGCAGTGGGGGGGAGAATTCAAGAGAATCGCATCGGATAACAATATCATCGCACAAGTGAAGGATGCCACTTCTGTTGATAGTATGATGGACGTCAGAACACTAGAGATATTGTAGTTGCATGGATTTTGAAGATTAGGTATCTGCAACGCGTCATACGTTAGTAACAGTACATGGTGATATCACGCATGTAACAATGATCTCCTTATGCATGTAGTACAAGGACTTGCCTTCGGTTGTTTCGGTTCGGAAATAATCAACTCGATGGGTTCAAGATTTACAATCGATTTGATTTTGTGTACCTCATATCCATACATCGTGATCCCCAACTGTAATGTATTGTTTTCCCACTATATTTTTTACAGAAAAAGTTTGACAGAAGTCAAAACCATCTCACACGATGTAGTAAGTGGGAACTAAGTGTATCAAGTCCTCCGAGTTTCCCCTCGAATAATCCCTCGGTCTTTTGGTCCAAGATTGAGGTGAGCTCTCTTATTTATGGCCGTACGTACATTTTCCTGACTGTTACCCTAATACCCCGTCCAAATTTCTTGTTCCTAGGCATACTAATCCATAGTCTTTTGATCCAAGACTGAGCCCCATTCCCGTTCCTCAGGCTAGTCCAAGCCTCCTCATTCGCAAGACTACAGTCCCTCAAACCCGATCTGTTATCTTAGAGGAAGAGTCCCATCATTCAATATTCAGTCGCGACGTCCCTGGTGTACTCTTCCCAATTCACGTGTCACGGTCACTTTGTCTATATCCTACCTCTCTAATCAACCTTTCAACTCTTTTGGAAAAACATCTTTTCACTAGCAGGACGACCCTGCTCGGCAAGGCAGAACGTGGATCTGATTTTGCACTTCAACGCGCTTTGATCTCGGTCCAATGACGGTATGTCGATCAGATATTTGGGATAGTCCAAGTTCAATTGATTGATTCAGTCGCCGTCAACAAATAGCACAGCCATTGAAGGCATCGTGGATGCGTTCTCGTTCTATGTGTTCAGTGGCATGCCTGCTCATTTGATCCACGTGCCAAGCGTAAGGCTTGTGGACCGGGACGAGGTGTTCAACATGTTCAAGCCTGCAGTCGAGGCCATCACAGAGGATGAGCTGAAGAACTTTTCAGGACCGTCAAGGACTCGAAAAGAGACCTTAAACAAAGTGCTCAGGGATAAGATCAAATTTGCGATGCTCTCTCACCGTTGGCTTGATACCGGAGAACCCACATTCCAGGGCATGTCCGAGTTACAAGAAGACATGTCCAAGAATTCCGCCGGATATCACAAATTGACCAAATTTTGTGAGAAGGCAAGAGAGTACGACTGTCAATTGGCTTGGTCGGATACCTGTTGCATCAATAAGAACAGCAGCGCGGAACTTGATGAAGCTATTCAGGCGATGTTCAACTGGTACCACAACGCTGCCATTTGTATTGCGTATCTTGCAAGCTCTTCCAGCGTGTCGGACTTTGCACAGGAGCCTTGGTTCACCAGAGGGTGGACACTGCAGGAGCTCCTTGCACCAGAGAAGATGAAGTTCTACGGGAAAAATTGGGAACCCCTCAGCGACAATCTTGACGACAAACACCCTAGAGACTTGACTACTCCATCTGAAGACGAAATTTCTACGCCAGTCGCTCCTTCTCAATCAGATATTCTCACTGCCATCACCCGCTTGACAGAAATTGAACGACATGATCTTGTTTCATTCTCGCGTGGCATTCACAACGTTCACCAGAGGTTGAGGTGGGCGTCAAGAAGGACGACCACACGCATCGAGGATATGGCGTACTCCCTCATCGGTATATTTGATATCAGCCTGTCAATAACATATGGGGAGGGTCAGCGATCCTGGTTTCGATTGATGGAAATCATCTTGCAACAATGCAAGAGTTGGGAAGTCTTCGTATGGGCAGGAGAATCGTCTCCATATTCCAGCGCAATACCACGCTCGCCCAAAGGCTATGAAGCTTTTGATATACAGAAATCCACAGAACTGAGCAGGAGTCTCGATATGGGGAGGATGGAGGGTATTGTCGGAGAAACACCTCCTGGTCTCCGTGGCGACCATGCATTTGCAATGACGAGACACGGAGTGCAGATGAAGCTACCGCTTCTCGACGTGGTGTTCGACCGCCCGAACCAGTCGGCCACTATTCACGCCCAGGCTCCGGGCTACCCAAAGCCTTGTGATCTCCATGTGCGAGTCACATGCCGCCAACCGAAATCAGAGGCAGAGATTTATCGTCTGGGAATAGTGAATTACAGCCCGAGCGGACTGAGTCGGCGGAACCAGTATAAGATCCGCGAGGGTCCTTTGTTGTGTTTCTTCTTCACCCTTGATCCCAATGGCCGGTCGTGGCTAAGGCTGCAGACAGAAAATGTGATCCTAATTGACCACAAGGGAGCCCCGGTACGATGTAGATGTTCGTTTGAGACGGTCTACATCTAGGGTAGGCAGTTACATCACTTATGTCGGAAACGTTGGATATGTCCCTGTATGTACCCGTATTTGTGGCATTCCTTTGGATTATTGATGCCTTTCTAGAAGAGTCGCACGTAATACTAGTACGTAGTATGAACTCAAATCTGCCTTCCACAGTGCTACTCACTTTGATATCCATCTGCGGCCTACTCCCAACGCCGATATCATAGTGCTGCGCCAGACTCTTTCTTGTCTCTCAGTTCCAATACGCGACCCTTTCCACTGTCTTGATTTCAGTCCTTCATGATATGTCCTAGCGAGTCAGGTCTGAACTGCATGGCAAAACAAACTTTTGGTCTTATGCATCCACAGCATACGTAGACAACAACCTCGTCGGCACTGTAGTAACTCCGGCCGGAAATGACACAGAGAAACTAGGGGCTCACTTACCGAAACCGTGTAATCCCACTCACTCTAATTGAATTTGCTCATCAAAATCTCTCCAGGATCAGGTGGAGTTTCATCACTTGTTCATTGGATCGAAGTACGAAGCTGTGGAGTAAAGGAAACATGGCTTACGCCACTATTACGCTCGAACGAATTTCCGTGGCAAGAAAATCCAGTCCAGTGTAATAGTGATGCCTGCTGTGTTGAAGTGCGTTCGATGTTCGCTATCCGGTGGGCGTCTTATGATTGCAGCAGAGTCCAGACGGTAATATCTAATTGATAACCCAAGCCTGATCTATGCACCAGAGAATACGCCAGATTACTACACTAGATTGCAGCCTGCCTCTGCATACGAATAATTATGCTCCATTGCAAACGAACTATGTACTTAGGTGCTTTCAGGATGTGGTTTGGCAATAGCTACGAATCTAAACAACCGGATGTGTTCCTCAACATGGTCCAAGTGCACATGTTCATACAATATCGTCCTCTGCAACCACCTCGAGAGCAGATGGTGTCTCTGCATGTCAGATTTTGAAATCTTGTATTTGTGGTATGTATGATATATGAGACTATGATAATGTGATCGTCGACGTGTTGTAAAAAACTATTCAGCTACAATATGTCTAGGGTCCCGATGTTCATAGTAATGTCAATCGAAGCCGGGTCTTTCACCTGCGCAATGATATATTGGTCCGACGCGACCCTCTTGTATTCTCCAACACGTTGCTGCGCTACCAAAAGTGCGCTGAAAGCCTGCCCAAGGTGAACCATCAAACGCAATGATCGTGAGTGAGCTTCCGAGTCAATCGACAACTCCTCTTCAGTGTCGTCTAATCCAGACTGGGACTCGAACCAATCCCCTACGCTCTCCCCTTCGTCTGCAAAGGTAAGCTGCTCTGAAAAATCAGGCTGCCCAAGGAGACGACGATCCCATGGACGGACAAGAAAGAATCTCTGCTGAGTGGGCCTTGGACGCGAGAACTGAATTAGTGTCTTGTCCGCCGTGGTGATCAGTAAGTCCTGAAGCCCATCTGCTTTGACTTTATATGTGGAATGAGCAGCATGACCAGGCCTCCGTTTGACTTCCGTGACACGGAATGCGATGCAAGGAAGACGCAGTCTGCAGTTGGCGAAGAGGGGAGCATTCATGTTCTCGAGCATGTTATACAACTGCGAAGCTGAATCCACGGGCACAATGTTTCGCAACGAAGAGACCGCTGTCTGAATCTCATCTTCAGACAATGATGGTAGGGAGCATAGAGGGGCTGCATATGAGATGATATCGGCTGGAAGGCAGCTATTGAACTCGGACGATTGTCCGACCCAGTCCAGGGAAGTGATGTCGCCCGATCTGGCGACGATCTCTTGCAGGAGCCTCCCGAGCGCATTTTGCTTCTTCTCGCCATAGATTACAGGCAGGTGGACGCCAAAGATACCAAACAACGAGTACGCAATGTCTTCCTGCAATGTGGTGACACGTTTCGATGCCCATCGCAGTTTCTCTCGGGCATCTCTCATCCCTGGACGGAAGGAGATCAGGGCCTGTGCATCTATTCCCGTCGCACCCTCCAACTCCTTCATGATTTCTGGGGATTCTTTGTGGTTAGGAGAGCGATCGTCGAGATATAACGACCAGTCCTTCTGATAAAATATGACGACTTTCGGAGCGACGAATTCTTGAAAGGTCCATCCTCGTTCGTTCCAAACACTACTCGCCAGTGCGCCGGACGGGGACGAAGGAGGGACGTCGGATAGGTAGACGATGGTGAGCGCTGAGTGGCGGTACCAGGCGAACATGGAATTGACCGATTCTTGGAGCTCGACGTTGTTGTTCTTATCAATGCAGCATGTATCCATCCACGCCCAGCGATACCCCGCATCACGAGCGACTTTGCAAAACGACTGCAGTTTCGCGGTGCCACCGAGTCCATCCAACTCATACAACATTTTGTCCTGGATGTGGTGCAGCAGCGCCTCCGTCTCTTCCCACCTGTGTGATAGCAAAACGCAACGGAAGTGCATGGCCACCACCTCCTTGATGGGTTCCATTTCGAGATCCGAACGCTTCGTTATGGATGACAAAAGCTCCTTGTATTCTGGACTTGTTTTGAATAAGTTCAGCTGTGCTGCTCGGTCGCACAAAAGACCCGTAGAGGTGTTGAGCAGACGAAGGGGGGCGTTGCCGAGTTCAATCCAAACTGCTCTTCGAATAGCATCTTCTGCTTCCGATGGACAGAC